GTTCTTCCCACTGACAACCAAGAGTAGGGTATTGTTTACTCCCACTGATGTTAAGGCATTTTCTACTTTCACTGGCCACAGTCCGGCCCTCCTAAAGTCTGAAGGGCAGTAAACTGGCCCTTCATTTCAAAAGTTTGGAGACACCTGGTGTAGAGGCTACCTGTCTGGGAAACCAGATCATTTACATCAACATCAATACTTTAAAGTGGTTGTAAACCCCTACATATACCCAGTGAACTGTCTAGCCTCAGGTAATATACAGAGGTGAAAAGAAATCCTACTACATACATTGTACCTGTTTATTTGCAGTCTTCTCTTCTGTACATCCATTCAAAGTTAGAAAGCAGAGAGAGCTGAAACTAGACAGAGCAAGAGGAGAGCTCTGAGAGCTGATTGGAGGGTAGGGACACCCCCCCCCCCCCTTCACACAGCACACAGGAACAGCGCTGAGGCTGGCAATCACAGGCTGTGTGCTGGAGATTCCTCCCCTATCACCTTTTTTCCCTTGGTGTCAGGAAAACTTGTCAGAAGTGGTTTATGCTGATAGCAGAAGAACAAGGCAGCAGACAGAAATGACACTTAGGGGTTTATTTACTAAAGCTAGAGAGTCCAAAATCAGACTCCCTTCTGCATAGAAACCAATCAGCTTCTAACCTCAGCTTGTTCAATGAAACTTTGGCAATGAAACCTGGAAGCTGATTGGTTTCTATGCAGAAGGGAGTCTGATTTTGGACTCTCCAGCTTTAGTAAATAAACCCCTTAGTGTTCTGGATTGATACAAGTACACACTATAGGGAGATATGCTTTGCTCATATTTCATGAGGTTTACAACTTCTTTAAGATAACAATAATAGTGAAAAAAAACCCTATGGGTCGGCACACTTTCATCATCTGTTGATCATTAAGGATTTTCCCCAGCTATCACTATCCTACAGAACACCTCTCACACTATTATGGAAATTAGAATAGGGGGAGGCCTCCCGTAGTCCCAAAACACTTCTGTCTTAGAGTGACAACACTGCTCCTCTAGAGGTTCAATGAGTGAGCGTTGTCACCCTAAGTGTATTACTGGCAGGATCACCAATTTAAAAAAAAGCCTGAAAAAGAAGAAAACTAAGGCAGGCACTACATCTAAGACTCCCTATTGAAAATAAATAGGGTGCCTATGCACCGTAATGTGGTAGACATTCAATGTCACCACTTTTTGTAATACAACACACCGCAATAACGTGCTACAACACAGGTGTCTTGCCTTGGTGTGTTGGGGTGCCATTAAAAATGAATGGCAACACAACGCAGTAATGAATGTTACATGCACTATTGTGGTTGCAGTAATGCACACATTAACTCAGAAGCATAAATGGGCTTTAATTCTTTCACTTCAGCAAAACCATTATCGTAGTTTTATGTTAACAATTGGATATAGGTCGTCTTTATACACCCGCTACACCTCACCCTCGTCAAACCCAAAATACTTAATCAGAGTCTTCCTCTAATGATCCATCACAGCCTCTGGGAGTTTATTCATAGCTGGAACCCATTAAAAATAAGAAAAGTTCCTTCTTCTCTCAGTTACACATTTTCCCATTTTCCCAAGTGATGATAGATAGGCTTTAAAACATTTTTTTTTTTAACTCGCAGCCTTTTTTGCTTTTCATTCCTCAGCTCCTTTAAGTGCTCCGGGAAGGAATCAAAAAGTAAGTTGCCTGATAATTGCTTCCCACGAAAAAGCACTGTTCTAAAACTTGTGTAAGATCTCTGGGGAGTTTCCCTTCGGCACAAAATGAAACGCAAGATGAGAGCGAACAATCTGAAGCGGTCTTGGAGATTTTATTTTATGTAATGTGGAGGATGAATGTACTGGACATTTCAGCAAGGGACGTGTTCATGTTTATAAAAGGATTTGGTGGAATTAATAGGGTTTTCTGCTTTAGCTATTAATATCCAATCCCTTCTTGGTAATTTAAAGGAAAACGCTGCTGATGCTAATTTTTATATATATATTATATCTGTTAGGGTCCTCCGTTTGTGTAGGTCCCTATCAGAGTCCCCCTTTACATCAGGGTCCCCACCAGAGCTCCCCTTACATCAGAGTCTGCCTTAGCAGTCCCACCTTTACATAAGTGTCTCCATTAGAGTCCCCCCTTAAATTTGAAAGGGAGACCATAGGAACCCTCTTCTGACCTAAATCCTCAATTAGTGCACATTGAGAGTATGCCAGTGACCCTAGCTACAGGCCAGACAAAATCTTTTAGTGGGCCAGTTGTGGCCCACAGTCCATAGTTTGGTGACCCCCCACCCCAATCTACAGCACAATCCCAGTAATTTTATTTTCGGCTTATGTGATTGGCTCTTTGGCACTGATCATGTGATCATAGCATATGACAACACTGGTACTGATCTTGTGATCATAGCCTATGACAACACAGGTACTGATCATGTGATCATAGCTTATGACAACACTGGTACTGATCTTGTGATCATAGCCTGTGACAACACTGGTACTGATCTTGTGATCATAGCCTGTGACAACACTGGGTACTGATCATGTGATCATAGCATATGACAACACTGGTACTGATCATAGCATATGACAACACTGGTACTGACATGTGATCACAGCATATGACAACACTGATACTGATCATGTGATCATAGCCTATGACAACACTGGTTCCTGATCATTTATAGGTAAAGTTGATCCAGGGAATATCTGATTGCCTCTCGGAGGATCAGGAAATAATTTTTTCCCCTGCAGAAGCAAATTGGATCATGCTTTGCTTGTTTTTTTTGCCTTCCTCTGGATCAACTGTGGGTATAGGATTATAACTTTTTTTTTTTTTTTTCTATGGTTGAACTAGATGGACTTTTGTCTTTTTCAGCCAGACTAACTATGTAATACAGTTGTGGCCAAAATTATTCAACCCCCACTGAAATTGAGTGTTTTGGCCAGTTTGACATTGCTTTTGATCATTCAGTCATCTTGCTTACATTTACATTAAAGAGGCACTTGTAGGTCAGACAAATATAACATAACAGTTATAATGAAATAACCACAAATGTCTTTTCTGTGCTCACAGCATTATCAGTTTTATTCAACCCCCAAGTGACATTCAATCTTAGTACTTAGTACAGCATCCTTTTACAGTTATAACAGCTTTTAAACGTGAAGCATAGCTTGACACAAGTGTCTTGCAGCGATCTACGGGTATCTTTCGCCCATTCTTCATGGGCAAAGGCCTCCAGTTCAGTCACATTCTTAGGCTTGCGCACTGCAACTGCTTTCTTTAAGTCCCACCAGAGGTTCTCAATCGGATTTAAGTCTGGTGACTGCGATGGACTCCAAAATGTTCCAGCCTTTCCTCTGCAACCATGCTCTAGTGGACTTGGAGGTATGCTTGGGATCATTGTCCTGTTGAAAGGTCCAACGTCTCCCAAGCCTCAGGTGTGTGACGGACTGCATCACGTTTCCATCCAATATCTCCTGGTACTGAAGAGAATTCATGGTACCTTGCACACACGCTGAAGCTTCCCTGTACCTGTACCAGAAGCAAAACAGCCCCAAAGCATGATTGACCCTCCACCATGCTTCACAGTAGGCAAGGTGTTCTTTTCATCATAGGCCTTGTTCTTCCTCCTCCAAACATAGCGTTGATCCATGGGCCCAAACAGTTCTAATTTTGTTTCATCAGTCCACAGAACACTATCCCACAACTTTTGTGGTTTGTCCACATGGCTTTTGGCATACTGCAGTCGACTCTTCTTATTCTTTGGAGACAGCAAGGGGGTACGCCTGGGAGTTCTGGCACGGATCATTACGCAGTGTGCGTCTTATTGTCTGGGCTGAAACTTCTGTACCCACATCTGACAAATCTTTTCTCAGTTCCTCAGCAGTCACACACGGGGACTTCTCTCCACTCTACGCTTCAGGTAGCGCACAGCAGTCGAAGTCAGCATCTTCTTTCTGCCACGACCAGGTAGCGTTTCAACAGTGCCCTTTGCCTTGAATTTGCGAATGATGCTTCCTAAGGTGTCTCTTGGTATGTTTAACATCTTTGCAATCTTCTTATAGCCATTGCCCTTCCTGTGAAGAGAAATCACCTCTTCTCTTGTCTTCCTGGACCATTCTCTTGCCTTCACCATGTTTGTAACCACACCAGTAAATGTCTAGAAGGAGCTGAGTATCACAGTCATTTTAAAGCTGCCTAATTGGTGCTTATTATGCTTGATTGCTGCTCGGTGACATCCACAGGGTTTTCAATACCTGATGGAAAGCACCTGTATGAACCTCTGTTTTTTTCAGAGTGGTAGTCTTTAAGGGGTTGAATAATTGTGGCAATGAAGAAACCACATAAGAACCATTTTACTACTGTATTACATAAACAATTGATGTCATTTTAGTTGCATTTGGGTAGTTACAACGTCCTTGTAGGATTTGATTCTGAATACAATTCCAAATGTACACTATAGTCCCTAAACCCCTTTACAGCATTGGGGGTTGAATAATTTTGGCCACAACTGTATATAGCATATGACAACACAAGTCCTGATGATATGACCATGGCATATGACAACACTGGTACTGATCATATGCTCAAAGCATATGGCAACACTGGTACTGATCATCTGATAATAGCAGGCAGACACTTCCACTTCCTCAGTTTGAGGAAGTTAGTGGAATGCCCTGTCTCCATACCTACAATGCAGAAGCAGGTAATACTTTTAGTAGTTTAAATACTTGTATACTGTTTTTTTTTCACTTCAGAAGATACAAATGACAAGTCTTATAGAATTAGCTCTTTATGTCAATGCAATGATGATGCCATTGGGTCTAAAATTAAGAATGTAATGCAAATATAAAGGTTTTCATGAATAATTTCAATAATATGTTGATGGGGGAATAGGAGGCAGAAGAAGCAGGGTAGAAAGCTGTAGGATTATAGATGGAGAGAGGTTGTGTTTGCTCTTCAGAATCATAATTTCCTCTGTTTTGGTTCATACAGGTGGCTGTGAAGGTGATTGATAAGAAGAAAGCCAAGAAGGACACTTATGTGACCAAGAACCTGCGCCGGGAGGGTCAGATCCAGCAGATGATCCGACACCCCAACATCACCCAGCTGCTCGATATCTTAGAGACAGAGAACAGCTATTACCTGGTGATGGAGCTCTGCTCAGGCGGTAATCTAATGCACAAAATTTATGAAAAGAAAAGATTGGAGGAACACGAAGCCCGGAAATACATCCGCCAGCTGATTCAGGCAGTGGAGCACCTGCACCGTGCTGGGGTGGTACACAGGTGAGTACGGGTGTGATTTTTCTTGCCATTCTCCCTTGTTATTTTACTGTGTGTGCAAAATGTTAATGCTGAAAATATTTCTCATCATGATCCTAGTGGTCTCAAGCAGTTTAGTGTCTTAGCTCTTTCCATGAAAGTTTATGCCTATGGAAATGGCTGATTCACCAGGTGAAAATGAAGCAAAGAAATCTTAAAAAAAAGACAGAAAACTAATATAGAGCCACCACATCTAAGAATTAGCAAGCTGCAAATAAAATACATTTTTGTTTTTGAGTTAAATACGGTATTAAATAGAGATCATTAACCAATATCAATTCCTCATTACAGATAAACTCTAAATAACACAGCAGGATCAGAAACTGGTATAACTTGCTGGTCATTAAAGATGCTTTCCCATTCCTTGTCAATCAGGCAGAACTAAGTAGGGAGCCTTGGCTCTTTTTACCCAGCAACAAAACCATTGCGAGTACAAACATCTTATGAAAAGGGTAAATGCTATTATTAGACCTTACAAAGAAAAACGCACATAAAAATAGAATATGAAAACACACAGCAGATAATTGCTGTGCCTGTTAAAGCCCTTTCTGGATATTCGCTGTTTTTTTTTTTTTCTTGTGTCAGTACGTTCATTTCCCATCAGAAAGAAAATCTCTCTTCAATAGGAAAAAGGCCATTTATTTACGACAGCGGCACAAAAAAAAAATAAATGGCACAGGACAATTTTAGTTGTAAATGGTTTGTTTCAGAGTGAATGAATGGGTGACTCACACCTATTGTTAGCAGGAAGATCACACGTTTGTGTGAAGATTCCATTATTCATAAATTTCTACCGGAAAATGGATTTCAGTGGCATGAAAGGCAGGAGCTCTAAACAGAGCGCAGGAGAAGTCACGACAAGACGAGGACATACCTGGCTCCTCTGTGAAGACGATGGAGTTATTAATAGAATAGTAGAGGAGAGACTCGCTGAAATAATATCTTTTTGGATGTGATATGTTAGAGTCGCTCTGAACGCACCTCCAGTTCAGAGGAAAAGCGGCGGAGACGAACGGAAAGGTCGCACACCTCAATTTGCAGCCGAGCACAGATGAGCGCTATTTTTATCAGCGGTGTAATTGCTGTCAGTGCTGCTCCATTGAAATAACACTCTATAAACAGCTTGGAATTCTATAGGGAGGCAGAACTCTGGTTTGAAGGATGTATTTTTTTTTCTTTTTGCTTTAGCTTTGTGACTATTTACCATTGTTAAGTGTAACTCCCACCGGTTTGTCAGCTATACCCCTGGTGCCCAGCTGGTGGCCCAATGGCCACGTTCCAGTAGAGGGAGTAGAAGCATTGATTTGCTAATAGGCTGCTGAGATTGATCTCTGGCAGTCACTCATAACACATCCCCAATGTACAACTATTTTTGCAGCAGGCTTCCAGCCTCTGATAAACCTAAAAGCATGCCTGTAGTCTCTGACCATCTCCTCTAGTTTGCCTGTAGTCTCTGACCATCCTGTCCAGTATGTCTGCAGTCTCTGACCATCTCCTCTACTATGTCTTTAACCATCTTTTCGACTATGTCTGCCATCTCTGACCATCTCCTCTGGCATGTCTGCCATCTCTGACCATCTCCTTTGGCATGTCTGCAGTCTCTGACCATCCCCTCTCATATGTCTCCCATGTCTGACTATCTCCTCTGCTATGTCTGCTGTCTATGGTATATCCTGAAGTCCATAACCATATCCTCTAATATGTCTTCTATTTCTGACCATATCCTTTTGTATGTCTACAGTCTCTGACCATCTCCTCTACTATATCTCCCATCTCTGACCATCTCCTCCACTATGTCTGCCGTCTATGGCAGCCTTTCTCAACCAGGGTGCCCAGGCACCCTGGGGTGCCTTGAGGTTTCCAAAGATCCATTATCTCCTGCGCTCAAAGACTCAGATCAAACGGGCGTTAGTAACAAGCAGCGTGTTGTGTGTTCATCCGCTGGTGATCAGAGGTTGTGCAGCTCTATCATGAAGCTGGGGAAGCTTGATAAAACTGTAGAAGAAGATGAAAGAAAGAGCGCACAAACCTTGAGCATTACCTCAATAAATAGTGACTAATTTTATTATTAAGGAAGTGCCTTGAGGTTTCTTCAGGGGTGCCTTGGAAAAATGTCTAAAAATTGCCCAAAACATGTATACAAGCCAGTGGGTGGAACAAAGTCACAGGTTTTAATTCTGCACCATTATGACCTTCTAACCGCCGGCGTCCTGACAACCAATGACATCAGTTGATAAGGAGGATGTCAGCTGCCTGTACAGCATCCTAGTTTGACCCTCCCCTGCCCCTCTCCATCAGTGCTGGGGTCACATTAGCTCAGTGATGGATAAAAACTGAGGGAGAAGAGAAACATTGGAATACTAGTCAGTACCAGTGTGCAAAAGTGTATTTGGTTTGGAAAAATAAATCACCTCTAATGTTGGGTGTCCTACATGTGTGGATGTTGTGGCGTTATATAAAACTATTAGAATAGCTTTTCACATTTTAGGATGGGGTGCCCTTTTAAAATTATGGACAGTCTTGAGGAACCCCATTTTAGAATGGGGTGCCTCAAGACTGTCCATAATTTTAAAGGGTTCCTTGACTGAAAAAAGGTTGAGAAACATTGGTCTATGGTATGTCAGAAGTCTGTGACCATCTCCTCTGGTATGTCTGCAGTCTCTAACTATCTCCTCTAGTATGTCTGAAGCATCTCCTCTAGTATGCCTGAAGCCTCTGACCATCTCCTCTACTATGTCTCACATCTTTGACCATCTCTTATACTATGTCTGCCATGTATAGTATGTCGGAGATCTCCAACCATCTCCTCTAGTATGTCTGAAGCATCTCCTCTAGTACGCCTGAAGTTTCTGACCATCTCCTCTACTATGTCTGCAATATATAGTATGTCGGAGATCTCCAACCATCTCCTCTAGTATGTCTGAAGCATCTCCTCTAGTATGCTTGAAGCCTCTGACCATCTCCTCTACTATGTTTCCCATCTTTGACCATCTCTTCTATTATGTCTCCCATCTTTGACCATCTCTTCTATTATGTCTGCCATGTATGCTATGTTGGAGGTCTCTAATGATCACCTCTAGTATGTCTGAAGCATCTCCTCTAGTATGCCTGAAGCCTCTGCCCATCTCCTCTAGTATGTCTGCAGTATAGACAATGTGATGTGCTACAATTCAGTATAGTGTGTGTCACATACTATATTGGATTGTAGTGCAGTAAGTTGTCTATTATTTATTTATTGCTGTGAAAAATATCTCTTGTGCTTGCAGCTCTTATAATGACTGTTTATAGTTTGTTATTTCTTGACCACTAGTGTGGTTTCATTTTCACATGTCCATCTCCTCTAGTATGTCTGCAGTCTCTGATCATCTCCTGTATCATATCTTCAGTCTCTGACAGTCCTCTCTATCATTACATATACTGAATATTATGTGTGTCCCTTAAAGTGGTACTAAAGGCTCAATTTTTTTTTTTTTAAATAGCAAACATTTTATACTTACTTGTTGTGTGCAATGGTTTTGCACAGAGCAGCCCTAATCCTCCTCTTCGGTCCCCCACCTACTCTCCTGGTTCCTACCCCCATCGATTGCCCCTGATCCTTCTCTTCTCAGGTACTCCGCTGGTGCTCCTGGCTCCTCCCTCCATCGATTGCCCCCATAGCAAGCTGCTTAATATGTGGGCTCGTGTGTGCTCGCTCCTGATCCCCGGCCACCAGTCCTTCCTCATTAGCTGTGACTGAAAGCTTCTGTGACTCAGCCAATGAGGAGGCAAAGAGCCAGGACAGCAGCAGCTCTCCTGCACATTGCTGGATCGGGATCAGGCTCAGGTATGTATTTAGGGGGGCTGCGGGGGAAGCTGCATACTGAAGGTTTTTTACCTTACTGCATAGAAGGGGCTGCAGTTGAGTCCCCCTACATTTTATACCTCATACGTTGATAACCACTGACCTATACTGTATATATGGAAAAGGATATTAGAAAGCCATATTGCAGATCCTTATCTGTTTCGGTTCTGTGTTTAGTGAGAAAGGCTCTACCATTGCAGTTGATGCGATCTTCTAAAATGAGGAATGCTTTGCCATTACTCTAATGATCTGATCCATCCCAGCAGTTTGTTAAGATGCATTGGGGTTGATTTATTAAAGCAGTACAAGCAGTTCACTTAGCAGAGTGAACGGTAGTAAACAACGAGATCTTGAGTTCACTTTGAATACCAAATCATATGCGAGGGAAGAAGTACAAGCAGTTCATTTAGCAAAGTGAATATTAGTAAATAAGATAAATCCTGAGTTCATTCCAAATACCAAATAATGCACAAAAACAGGACTCTTGCGAGAATATTGAGGTTTGATGTAAGTGAACACAGATTTACATTATTTATTAAAGTGTATCTAAACCGAAGAGCAAAAATGTAATACATTGAAGCTCACAGCTTCTGTGATGGCTGTATTAGTTTTCATTTACTGGATTTGTTTCCTTTATTTTCGCCTGGTGATCCTGCCAGTAACAAATTTCCTGTCCTAGTGCGACAACGTTTACTCATTGTACTGTATCTATGGAGGTTGTTACTCTAGGATGGGACAACATTACAGGTACTTATATAGCGCCATCAATTTACGCAGCACTTTACATATATATTGTAGATTCACATCAGTCCCTAACCCTCAAGGGGCGTACAGTAATAAGGTTACTAATTCACATCATACATACATATTCTAGGGAGAATTTAAACAGGAGCCAGTTAACCTTTCCAGCATGTCTTTGGAGTGTGGGAAGAAACCGGAGTACCCAGAGGAAACCCACACAGACACAAGAAGAACATGCAAACTACATGCAGATGGTGTCGTGGTTGGGATTCAAACCGATGACTCTGTGCTGCCAGGTGGAAGTGCTAACCACTGTGCTGGTCTGATAGAACAACCCTTCCTATTCTCCATAATTTAAGGAATTCTGTAGTCCACAGAGAGAACTGAGAACAGTGCTAACTGATAACATTGTAGCAGAGGCAGAAAACTCAAGAATTCAACAGCTCATATGATTTCTGGCAGGATCTACATGTATTTCTTTGCACTTATTAAACAAATGTAACAAAATGCTTTCAATGGTATATTTTAAAGACCAAAAGAGAGCAAAAAATAGATGTTCATTATTAGAAGCAACCCCACTACATCTCCAATATGCCATTAGATGTACGGCTCCTATCTCCCCAGGGAGGAAAACTCCAATGCAGTAAACCTAATAACATTACCAAGGATTCAATATTCTTTAGAAGAGGAGGCTTGCAATGTAATGTCATATGTGCAGATTTCTTGGAAAGAGGGGTGAGGGTAAGAGTTGGGGGGTATACTCTCTGGAAACCCTATCTTCAAACTGTATACTGTTGCCATGGTTGCAAAGAAGAGAGACTTTGAATGCTGTTGTCAGTCACAGAAAAGCATGGCTGAATGCACATTGCAAAAAAAAAGTTAAACATTAAATAAAATTTTTTATCCTTTCTGCACTATTTGGTAAGTCGCTGACTCCAGGCAAGAAAAATCATAACCTGACTTGCGTATTTGTTGTGGGTTAGCGATTTATTAAAGTGGAACTAAACTGTACCTGAGCACCACAAATCGTACACGCTATTTTATTCATTTTTAATATTTAAAGCAAAGTCACCCATCCATGGCTTTGTGCTTTATTTGACTGAGAAATCGCTTTGTACCGTCCCCCCCAGCATTTATGGCTATGGCTATCTTAACCTCTTGGCGCCGGCCCGAACGCAAATGTGCGGCCTGCCAGCGTCTGGGCCTTGACGCCGAGCGGCCCGCACATTTACGTGCAATTAACAAAAACATATGTGCTGAGAGCGCGTGCCCTGCGCGCTCCCAGCACACATGTCCGGTCCCGATCATGTGACTGCCGTGATGGCGATTCACGGCAGTCACATGACCCTAAAACTCAGCCCCGCCTCCCGGCTTCTGAAACCCTTAAAGGGCCAGGAGGCGCCGGCGCCAAGGGGTTAAGTAAGGACAGATGATTTAACATGTATTGCCTAGAATCCATCTACCCTTAGCTCAGGCATTCAGACAGGAGGGTGTGCTTAGCTGAGAAAGCCCCTCCTCCCCTTCTTTAGATGAAAGAAAAAAAAATGCTCATGAAGACTTCTGGAATGTATGACATCATTTTGGCCTAGGCCAGAAACCAGGAAGCAACTGCAGAAATGTAAAAAAAAAAAAAGTTTAAAACAAGAAAATATAATATACCTTCCTGTCTATTTATTAATGCTAGCAGCATAAGGATTTAAATAGTTATTGTTGAGAGTTTAGTTCTGCTTAAGTCTAGGTTCACACCTATGCATTTTCCACAGTGTTTTGCAGAAACGCACTACAGTCTATGATTTCCTATTGCAAACGTTCACATCTCCACGTGTGTAACCCGGTGCGTTTTTGGAAAGGGTCAGAGACTTTTTTAAAGGCAAAAAGTTGCATTTTGGTCCTATAGACTTCAATTTGTTGCATTTTTTTATGCATTTTTTTATGCATTTTAATCTGCCTAGCAACAAGGAAAAATTTAAAAAAAAAAAAACGCAAAATGCATCAAAAACGCAAAAAGCATTGCAGAAATGGATCAAAAGCAAACTGCATAGGTGTGAACCTAGCCTTAAGAAAGAGAGGATAAGGATTCATCCGAAAACTGATGGGACGAAAACCTGCCATCCCCGTACTTTGCACTGCCGTAGTAAATAAGTGTGAAAGTTCAGGACTGCCATTCGGAAGCTGAAGATGTGACTGACGTTTCCTCGTTTCATCAGCAGCTACTTGTCTTATATAAATAAAAACATTTTTTTTTCTGGTTAAGTGTTGCAACATGTTGTCCCCGAATCCATGAAATCTTCTGATCCTGACAAGTATGTGATCAGTGGCAGCCCGGAAGCAGTGTTTGATTTGATAAGAGCCGACAAATGCATCCTTTTCTGTGCAATTACCTTCAGTGAGTCAGGGAGTGGAGCTGTTCCAGGGAAGAACATAGCCGGTTGCTGCACGCTTATGTCTTTTATTACGCACCGTGTTGGTGAGATATAAACTCCCAATCTGTAATCTCAGCTTTACATCTGTAGAATTTCATATGAAAATTGTTGTTTCCAGAACCTTCATTTGATTTTCTAAGGCTCCATTCAGATATGTGCGAGCGTGTTTGTGCGTGCACGTTGCAGGCGTACAGTGGCCCATTCATTTCAATGGGCTGCCGTACCACGGAGAAAGGTGGGGAAAAAGGTCACTGACCCTTTTTAGAAATGTCGCTACACTGAATCACATGGTGCTGCAAGTGCGAAATCGTGCCATGGCAGCCAATGCGTGGGGGTGCCATTAGAAATAATGTCATACCTGCAGGTCTGTTAAAATGCATAAATGTTCTTTGTGCACAATTTTACGCACATTCCCCACTCGCAGAGATGTGAACCTAACCTTAAGCCTCGTACACACAATGAAAATATCGTCTGAATGATCGTTTGTTTTTCTTTACATGCGAAAATGAAGTTACTAAAGTTATGAAAATTCTCGTATGACAGAATACAACTTCAGTCTTCACTCTATCATGAATGCTGCTGCCAGACTCATCCAACTTACTAACCGTTCCATATCTGCCATCCCTCTCTGCCAATCCCTCCACTGGCTTCCCATTGCCCAACTAATAAAATTCAAAACATTAACAATACTATATAAAGCCATTTATAACTCAGCCCCAAATTACATCACCAATCTTGTCTCCAAATTTCACCCAAACCGTCCTCTCCACTCCTCGCACGACCTCCTGCTGTATTTTTTCATTGCTGAGCACGTGATCTTGGTCTTCCTATTTTTTTTTTTTTCCGGACAAATATCGTACCGAATAAATAAAAAATTGTTTGTCCTGGTATTGAACAAAAAAAATTTGCATGTTTGTCCCTTCAGATAATTTCACACGAACTGTTGTGATCGGCTCTGGAAAGCTGTGTAGTACAAAAGATCAGATTATGGTACGATCACTTCAAAAGCAATATTTTTTTGTCCAATTTTCTGATCGTGTGTACTAGGCTTTGGAGTTAAAAGGAACAATTCAACAATCTATTTTGACCAGAGCAAGCAAAAAAAATTATGTATGAAAATAAAAATTTTTTGTTGAATCGTAAATGGCACAAACTAATTTCTAATCCTTGAATTGACTCCTGGCCAGTTCATTTGGAACTCATTTTATACGCAATCTTTCTTCGAAAATCGAGACATTGATATGATACTGAAGTCAATAAAGGCCCACTGAATAATCAAACGAACGATTGTTAAAAGTTTTCTCGCCCGAACGTTAAAACAAAATTCTGCAGGTGACTTGGGGCCCATTTAGATCCCTGCTTGTACATAAAGGTGTCTTTTTTTTGGAGTGTTAGTTAGATGCCCCTTATAATTGCTGTTGCAAGTAGGCAGAGCAAGGGCTACAAAGACTTTATAACAAGCCAGTAATATTATTAATAGTAAATTAAATGCAGGTCATAGCCACATTATACTGTTTGGGAAAGCAGTTATTTTTGCAGATTTTTTTCAGCACCATTTATGGCCAGTTATTCCTCCCATTAACCATTAGGCCCTTCTCTTGGCTCAATAATGACTTGTAATCTTTGTTAAATTAACTTGTTTGGGATCAGTGCTTCTCACCCTCATTAATTGTTGTCTTTCCTGCAGAGATTTGAGAAGATTGAGAACCTGTTACTGGATGAGAACAACAACATCAAGCTCATTGGTATGCAAATTCTTTAATGAGCTCCCCATTAGCATTGTATTCCTCAGTTTACTCTCACTATGACTAGGCAAAGACTACATGATGCTTCAATAGGACTTCTGTTGTGTCCTATTTCCTGTCTCCTTCCTCAGTGCCAAATGTCACTGCTGACTCTGCAGTCCGGTAATTACCCTTTCAATTGCTTTGGTGAAAAAAAACATTGAAATAAGTTGACTACACATTATTGTCTGCACTTGGAAGTGAGGGGCCCAGAATATTTAAAGGATCATTCCAGACAAAACTGGTATTGCAGTGTTCTGATGGTATTGGTGGAAAGATCCATGGGTTTATTGCATTCTTTGGTTATTCCAGTGGTAATATTTTAGTGAATTACTTCCTAAAAGTGGTCCTGTACTCAAATGTTATCATACAGCTATTTTACCACTCATATTGGGGTGGAAAATAAGGAATAAAAATGCTCAAATTCCATTCCTAGAAAACCTTTTGCCTAAGCTAGTCATATGCTTCTCTTCACTCATTATCTAGGCCAGGCTCTCTCAACCATTCTACCCCAAAGGAACCCTTAAAATAATTTCAGGTCTCAGGGGACCCTTGCTAAAATCAAATCATCGGAGATCAGTGGTGGGAAAATTGTCACTTACAAAGGCAGCTAAAAAGTATTATTGGTTTCATGTTGATGGCTCTTCCAAGTGGCAATAAGCAGATTCCATCAGATGGGAGGCCAATCAGCCACAACTCATGGGACTCCTACCAACCTTTGGAGGAACCCTAGGGTTCCATGAAGCCTTGGTTGAGAATGTCTGATCTAACCTAAAGTCTGGGCCAGACTTTCTCAACTAGGGTTCATTGGAACCCTAGGGATTTGCCAAAGGTTCCTAGGGATTCCTTGAGCAATGAGCAATCTCTGCCTCTTAAAAATACGTAACTACTGGTGATCTTTTTAGCTATCTGTATGGATGGGATTCTTCCCAATGACCACAAATGTAAGGGGCATTCTAACTAGTGGACATCACTCTAAAGTACTGTTAGCTGTAGATATAGCCATTATTAGGAATGGTTTCCTGAGACTGGCAAATTTTTCAAGGGTTCTTCTAAGTTAAAAAGTATGAGAAAGGATGGTCTAGGCAATTGGACATGTGACAGAGTGTGATCATGGTTCTCATTGGCTGATCATTCTCTTAGGAAAGAAAATAGGCCCAAGACATATACATATGAGGCCAACGCTGAAGGTTGCCTAGAGCAGTATTCTTTCCAGGAGAGGCAATTGCCTTCTTTTACTCTAACATTAGGTCTAAAAGTAGACACTACAATGTGTCTGCTGTAATCTTCATTGTCCAGCATACCCTTCTCTGAGCACCTCTTTGGTTTCATGTTGTTACCAGAGGACTGATTTAAAGACTAACCCCTGCCAACTGACCCAGTCTATCCAAAGATAGTCCAAAATAGCTGACAGGTTTTGATTTAAATCCATATAAGTGTGTTAAACTGTTTGAAGAATTGTAATAACGAGAATCTTTGTTTGCAGATTTTGGTCTCAGCAACTGTGCCGGAATCTTGGGCTACACAGACCCGTTCAGCACACAGTGTGGCAGTCCAGCCTATGCAGCCCCTGAACTCCTTGCTAGGAAAAAATATGGCCCCAAAGTGGATGTCTGGTCTATGTAAGTATTTTTTCTCCACTTTATTAAAACATATGATGTGTTTACAGTTTTAAAGGATCTGCACAGTTACACCCTTGACTTAAGCACATTGCGACTTCCGGGATTTTCTCAGGCCAGTCCTGCTGTGGGAAAAGATAAGGAAAGACACCTGATATCATAGAGGTTTAGACACCTTGCTTATATGGTCATTCCTATAAGGCCCAGACAGACACAGTGAGACTGGAATGTTGATAAACAGCCTTCAGCCAGAGCTGTTGACCTTTGCATGTGCAGATGTCCTTCACCAAAAGTTTCACCATTATGACATGCAAAGCACAGAAGTTCTAATGAGTAAGCCATCCCAGCAATTTTCCCAAATGAATAAACAAGCAGGGTTCTGGGGTTTGCTTAAGCAAATGGTGCTGAGTTGTACGTTAATGGAAAGCTACTGATAAGCTTTAACAATTAGACCACCAACTCATGCAAGATGCCCGACTATCCTTCTGATGAAAGATCTTAACAAGCAATTGTAAAAATTGGGCGCATGTGTATGACTGTGCATAGGAAGGAGATAGGGGAATGTTTCGGAAATATCATTGGTAATAGCCTTTCAAATAACAATTGCCTTTGAATAAACCAGCCTAGTCAATTGTCCCTTCTTCCTGGAAAGCTTGAGATGGACATGTCTCCAATGGTCTGTCTTCAGAAATATTAGTATACCTCAAGCCAACTTTGAACGAGGGGGCACGTCCTCTAGCGTTTGGATAAAAGCAAATGTTTCCTTGTCATTGGTATTAGGCAATGTATGTTTCACAGGCACAACATACATAAATTCCTGACTATTCAATGAAATATTCTTAAAGCCCAACTAATGCTTCAGATTTAATCAAAGAAAAACATATCAGGTGTATCGAAAAAAAAAAACGGTGTGCAAAGCAAGCAGCCACATCCTTATCTTAAAGCCTGTCCCTGCCAGCATGCTATAGATAAGGACCTTGCTTTCTTTGTGGAAGCAGTAATGTCTCTGCAGAGGTCGGACAACTCACCCTCCCCTCTGCTTTTACAGAGAGAGAAAAGGTCCCTCTCTGCAGCAAGCAACTTCTTTCCAAACAACTTAGACTTTGAACACCTTTTGTTTTCATGCACCTTATATTTATTTAGCTCCATTTAGATCCATTGGGTTTTAATCCTGAATTTACTTACTGAGTATATATCACATATATTGTATTTTTATATAATATAAAATATGTAAAAAACTTTAGCCAGGCTATATTGTACTCCTTTCTCCCTAGAGGCTGAGATGGCAGCTTCCTTGGCTGTAAAGGAGGGATTTTATTCCATTTTAAATGCTTTAAGACCACCCACCTTCATTGTAATGTTGACGGACGGCTCCTACAAGAACAGCAAAGTACTTGTATGTCTCTGCCTTCTTCATGGTCGGGACCTGCTGATCGTCTGTGTCCAATCACAGCCCAGAGTCCTGTGTTGACAAACAACACAGGGATCTGTACAGAGAGAACACTTTGTTTCTTCTCCCTGCACAGCAGGTAGAAGGAACAAATAGATTTTTTAGTAAAAAGCAGTACATAATATACACATTAACACTTGTTAGGCACGCACTTAACCCCTTCCCAGCCAGTGTCATTAGTACAGTATGATCACTGATCACTGTATTAGTGTCACTGGAGATGTCAGTGTCAGTTAATCAGTTCCCTGTCAGTGTCATATTGCTCGCCGCACTATTACAGTCCCATGATAAGTCGCTGATCACCGCCCTTACTAGTATGAAAAAATAAATGAAAATTCCAGTATATATCCCATAGTTTGTAGACGCTATAACTTTCACACAACCCAATCAATATACACGTATTGGGATTTTGTTTCCAAAAGACATGTAGCAGAATACATTTTGGCCTAAATTTATGAAGAAATTAGATTTTTTAAAAATTTTTTTATTGGATACATTTTATAGCAGAAAGTAAAAAATATTGTTTTATTTTCAAAATTTGCGGTCTTTTCATTTATAGAATAAATAAATAAACAAACCCAGTGGTGATCAAACACCACCAAAAGAAAACTATTTGTGTGAAAATATTATTGTATATTTATGTGAAATTATATCAGTTTCGTTTGGGTACAGCATTGCATGACCACGCAATTACCAGTTAAAGTAGCGTAGTGCTACATAGCAAAATAATGGCCTGGTCAAGAAGGGAGTAAAACCCTCCAGAGCTCATGTGGTTAAGACAACTCCTGAGTTAAGGTTTTTCTGGTCTTGTACGTTGATATCTGTGTAAGCTCCAAAGCTTCCTTCTGTATCTTTACTATATTACTGCCATTTAACATTCATTGATGTGACCATTTAAAATATGCGTCTAGTAGCTGTTAATGATTGTCTCCCAAGAGCATGGCGCAGGCTGGCAGGTTACTATGGTAACCGCATGGAGGAAAGCAGAACATCTGAAACTCTCACTTTCCACCGCATGTGTTGCAGAGATGTGAAAACAGTTGGCACCAAGTGGGAATTACTAGATAAAATACTAAAAACATTTTTCTGCTTATGAAATCAAACACTTTTGCTTTTTCCATCTTTCTGCTAATATTTTTAAAATGATAGCAATGGTAATAGCAGGGTACATGCATGCGACCAATATGGAGGACAGGCCACGGCCTCCCATAGGCTCTGCTTAGGTCCTGAAATACTCTGCACTGCTGTCCCCATACCCTTTCTTCTCTTTTTTTCTACCTGCTAGAACTTTTTTGGGGTTTCCCTGATGTGTTCACTCTCTGCAGCCATTATAAAAAGCGTCTTGCGCATCACTGTCTAGTGCAGTAGGAAGAGTGAGATTCGACAGTGGCTTTGTTGGAAAATGGGCATTTTAGCAAAGAAATAGAACTGTCATATATAGCTATCATCAGGGGTGGACTGACAACTCATGGGGCCCCCGGGCAATAGGGGATCATGAGGCCCCTGTGTACTTGCCCAAACTCAAAAAAGCCTATGAAAAAGGTACCAGGGGCATCCCATGGGGCCCCCTACTGACCCTGGGCCCTCGGGCAGTGCCCGAGTTTCCAAATGGTCAGTCCGCCCCTGGCTATCATAGTTACATAGTTAGCCTGGCTGAAAAAAGACAAAAGTCCATCCAGTTCAACCATAGAAAAAAAAAAGTTATAATCCTACACCTACAGTTGATCCAGAGGAAGGCTTTATCAGTTTATGGGACTTCTGCCCTAGGTTCACACTAGTGCATCTGCATTTTTAATGCGTTTTTTAGTGCTTTTCATTTTTTAAGCACTCCCATTGAGTGCCAAAAATATACACCAAAGGAGTGCTTGAGACTTCTTCTAAGCCATAGAAGCATGATGTGTGGGTGTTAACGGGCCCCATAGACAATATTGTAATTCCGCTCATCCTGCGATCTTGCACAATGGCCAAAGGGCAAACAGGGACTAAATCCCAACATACAGTGATTGGAGGTATTGGCAGAGCTAACCATAATGTTGTTTGTACAGCCATAGCATGCAGCATTAGGCTCCATGCACACTTGGGTTTTTGTTTTTTATGCTCAAAAATGCTGGGAAAAAAAACACTGGATAAAAAATGCTGGTGATAGTGTTTTTTAGTAGCGTTTTAGAAGCGTTTAGGAGCATTAGCGTTTTATTTGCATTTTTACAGTATATATGGAAGGAAAAATTAACTAGAAAAAAAAGCTGTTAGCATTTTATTTATTTATTTATTTCAGGTACTTATATAGTGCCGTCAGTTTACGCAGCGCTTTACATATATATTGTACATTCACATCAGTCCCTAACCCTCAAGGGTGTACAATCTAAGGTCCCTAACTTACATTTATACATACACATACTAGGGACAATTTAGACAGGAGCCAATTAACCTACCAGCATGTCTTTGGAGTGTGGGAGGAAACCGGAGTTAGCATTTTAGTAGCATTTAGCGTTTGTTTCTGCTGGAAAAGCGCTCCAAAAAAAAAAACCTTTACAAAAACATTTTTTTTTCTCCTCCTAGGCATTGAAGCTCAAAAAATGCTAATAGCCTAAAGTAGTGTGCATGGACACATAGGATAACACTATTTAGCTTCTAGAAGCAGAAAAAAAATATGCTGATAATAGCTTCCAGGAGTTTAAAAAAAGCGCTAGTGTGAATGGAGCCTTTGTGTCCACCTTGCAAAGGCTGATGGTACCACAATTGTCTCCATAGTTAAGTGGAAGGACAGGTGAGGGTTAAAACTCTATGGTCCAGTCATCAACTTGCACTTCGGTTAGGTCCACACCTATGGAGGTTGCCTTTGAGCTGTTTCTGCATTGCGTTTTTGATGCTTTTTTTTTTTTTTTTTAAAAAATTTTCTTGTTGCTAGGCAGATTTAAAATGCAAAATGCATCACAAACATGGCAAAAATGCATCAAAAAAACAACTGGGCAGCACAGTGGCTTAATGGTTAGCACTTTCCCCTGGCAGTAGTAGGGTCGTTGGTTCAAATCCCAACCACAGCACCAACTGCCTGGAGTTTGCTTGTTCTCCCTGTGCTTGCGTGGGTTTCCTCCAGGTACTCCAGTTTCCTCCAAAGACATGCTGGTAGGTTAATTGGATCCTGTCTAAATTGTCCCTAGTATGTGTATGTATGAATGTGAGTTAGGGACCTTAGATTGTACACCCCTTGAGGGTTAGGGACTGATGTGAATGTACAATATATATTTATTTATTTCTGGTACTTATACAGCGCCGTTGAATTACGCAAGTGCTTTAAATATATATTATACATTCACATCAGTCCGTAACCCTCAAGGGGTGTACAATCTAAGGTCCCTAACTTACATTCATACATACACATACCAGGGTCAATTTAGACAGGAGCCAATTCACCTACCAGCATGTCTTTGGAGTGTGGGACCCTGGAGGAAACCCACGCAGGCACAGGGAGAACATGCAAACTCCAGGCAGGAGGTGCCGTGGCTGTAAAGTGCTGCGTAAATTGACAGCTCTATATAAGTACCTGTAATAAATAAAACATGCTTTTCTGCAGCGTTTCCATTGAAGTCTATAGAAACAAAAAAGCAACTTTTTGCGTTAAAAAAAGTCCCTGATCCTTTCCGAAAAATGCACCGAGTGAAAATGTGCAGATGTGAACGTGTCCCATAAGAAATGTTAAATGGACTGTACTGTGTTTCTCCAAAATGCTGTAGAAAATGCTTAGTAGTGAACCTAGGATCAAGATGTGCTAAATACCTCTTAAGGCATGCTAATGACATAACATATGATAACATTGACTCAGAGGCCACTAAAGCATTCCTCAAGTGCTGCTTTAAAGGCTAAGTTCACCTTTCCATTAAAATACACTATGGTGTTTAGGAGACTCAGTGTTAAAAAAAAAAAAAAAACTGTGCAGTTTTCAGATAGTGTCCTTCAATTCAATGCCTTACTAGCCTGCCATGAAAATTCCTATTGAAGTGATCAGCCATGTCCTGCCCAGTTTCCAGGTTGTTCAAAACATTGGACGCTTGCTGCCAGCATCACAGGGACAAGGGCTTTTCTGCATTCCAGACCCATGCAGTGCTCTCACCCTCAGCCATTGCTGCTATAGGGTAGGGAGAGCACACTGTGCATGCATGGGTTTGAATTTCAGAAGTGCACTTGCTCCTTGTGATGGTGGGAGAAAGTTTCTAATGAGGCTTTTGTCACCCTTATTAACATGGATGCGAATGGTCACTGCCATTTGAGTTTTTGTGACAGGCTTTAAGAACGTCAGGTATCCTACTGGTAAGGCATTAAAACTAAAGGCACTAACAGCACCATATTTATATACACACACACTGGGCCCCTAGGCAACATAGTGTACTTTAGTGAAAAGGTGAATTTAGCCCTTAAGCTTGATGATTCAGGACCTGCAGTATGACTTAGCAATCATTTGCTACTGACAATCTGATTTTGTTGGCCAACTCTAACCATGACCTTCACAATGTTCTCTTTTTCAGTGGTGTGAACATGTATGCCATGCTGACGGGCACACTGCCATTCACCGTGGAGCCATTTAGCTTGAGAGCTTTGTATCAGAAGATGGTGGACAAATCCATGAATCCGCTCCCTTCCAACCTCTCTTCCGGTAAGTGGTGCCACACCTTTCACCGTTAGACATGTGTCCCTGCAGTAATTGTGGCCAGCTTGCCTCGCCAGCCATCCAAAGCAAGAGTACTTTATGTAACATTGCACACAGCAGTTTGTAAAAGGAAATTATCTTCTGCAAATTCTCTTTGTCAGAAAACGCCTGCAACGTGCCGGTAGATTTTATACAAGGAGCTCCCTGATTGTGCCATGTAGGTTTAGTAATTTTTATTGTAAGCTCCATCAAGCAGGGGCACTTATATCTTTAGTTCCCTGCTGGGTTTTGTATTGTTAGCAATGTGCGTATGTTTATGGTGCACCCTACTGTAAAGGGCTGGAAATAGAATGAAGCTACATAAATAAAAGGTAATAGTTGTAATTATAATAAACTGTTCGGCTAAATCTCTTGCATTTTGCCTATTCCTCTTACAGGCTTAATCCGTCACCTGTACGAGTCAGGTCACTAAACGATAACGTTTCATTGTTGTGCATTGTGAAATATTTTGATTGCAAACATGTCAATTTCCTAAAGATTTTATTGCACAAATTAGGTTTATTTTTGTATATATTAAACTGAACCTCTCCAAATCTGAGTTTCTTGTCTTCCCCCCAGCCCGGACACCACCCCCCATTGACTTCTCCGTCACATCCAACAACGCCACCATCAGACTCCACCTCCGCAACATCGCCAAAATACGCACGTTCCTAAACCCCAGAAACCACTAAACAGCTCATCCACTCCCTCATCATATCATGACTCAATTACTGCAACTCCCTCCTCACTGGCCTGCCTCGCCGCTGGCTATCCCCGCTTCAGTTGATCCTGAATACGGCTGCCAGACTCATTCACCTTTCCAACCGCTCCATCTCCGCCACCCCCCTCTGCCAATCCCTCCACTGGCTTCCGATTGCGCAACGGATCAAATTCAAAATCCTAACACTGACGTACAAAGCCGTCCACCATACTGCCCCGAACTACATCACCGACCTAATATCCAAGTACCGCCCAGCACGCACACTCCGCTCCTCACAAGACCTCCTTCTCTCTAGTTCCCTGGTCTCCTCCTCCCATGCCCGCCTCCAGGACTTCTCCAGGGTGTCACCTATCCTCTGGAACTCCCTGCCCCAACCCATCAGATTATCACCTACTCTCCTCTCTTTTAGGCGCACCCTGAAAACCCACCTTTTCAGGGAAGCCTACCCCACCCCCCTGCTAACTTGCCGACCTCCTCCACTCTTCCTACCACTCCATCCCCCATAGCTATCTCCTCCTGTGCCACCATCCCCTCCCTCCTAGATTGTAAGCTCGAAAGAGCAGGGCCCTCGATCCCCTCATGTTTTGCATTGTATTGGTATTGTTCTGTCACATGTTCTGTCCCCCTTTGTAATGTACAGCGCTGAGCGAACCATTGGCGCTTTATAAATACTGTGTAATAATAATAATATTATTTTTCTTATATTAACAAGTTTGTGTTTATGTCTGTTTATAAAAGTTAAACAGGGGTTTTGTTCCTTAAAATGGTTGTAAACCCTTACATATACCCTCTGAAGTGACTAGCCTAAGGTAGCACACAAAGATAAAGAAAATCCTCCTACATAAGTTGTACCTCCGCTTTAGGCTATTAGACCGTAATGTCACCAACAGGGGCAGGCTGACAACTCATGGGTCCCTGGGCAATAGGGGATCATGGGGCCCCTGTGTCCTTGCCCAAACTCAAAAAAGCCTATGAAAAAGATACCAGGGGCATCTCATGGGGCCCCCTACTGACCCCGGGCCCTCAGGCAGTGCCCGAGTTTCCAAATGGTCAGTCCGCCCCTGGTCACCAATACAGCTAGGATCTTCAGAAGTACACGCCAGTGATGACAAATCTCCATACTTCCTGATCACTGCAATATTTTTTTTTTCAATGAAAAGCCCTATAAAAATTTTTTGTAGCATTTCCAGGACTGAGGCATGTTTGAGGGGACTGATGTGTGTGGCACCTTTGTGTGTGGCATTATGGCACCTAAAATTAACAATGTGTCAGTAATATAAAAGAATGGACCACATGCAATTTACTGTGTCCCTTCCATTCTTCTTCAGCTGCTGTCAGTTTCCTACGCTTATTGCTGGAACCAGATCCAGTGAAGAGGCCCAATATCCAACAAGCACTGGGCAACCGCTGGCTCAACGACAACTATCATGGAAAGGCCACGCATACACACACTTACCCAAACAGGTAGGTACAGCAACTCTCTCCTTTGCTCCCAAAGCAGCATATTAGTTTTTTATATTATGTAGCAGTCTGTATTACTATATTGTAGTTCTTTATGCAAAGTATTATTATTATTATACAGGACTTATATAGCGCGACAGTTTACTCAGCACTTTACATTATGGAGGGAGACAGTACAGTAACAATACAGTTCAATACAAGAGGGATTAGAGGACCTGATCCTTGGAGCTTACAACCTAGGAGGGAGGGGATAGTGGTACAAGAGGTAATTAGCTGTGGGGGATGGAGTGGTAGGAAGAGTAGAGGATTCCAATATTAGCTGGGGTCAGGGTAGGCTTCCCTGAAGAGATGGGTTTTCATAGTGCACCTAAAAGTGAGCAGAGTAGGCGATAGCCTGATAGATTGGGGTAGGGAGTTCCAGAGGATGGATGAAGCCCTTGAGAAATCCTGGAGACGAGCATGGGAGGAGGAGACAAGGGAGCTAGAGAGTAGGAGGTCTTGCGAGGAGCGGAGAGTACGGTGTGGGTGGTATTTAGCAACAAGGTCGGTGATGTAAATAGGGGCAGTGTTATGAACGGCTTTATACGTCAGTGTTAGTGTTTTGAATTTTATCCGCTGGGCAATTGGAAGCCAGTGGAGGGATTGGCAGAGAGGGGTGGCAGATACAGAGTGGTTAGGAAGGTGAATGAGTCTGGCAGCAGTGTTCATGATGGACTGGAGTGGGGATAGCCTGCGATGAGGTAGGCCAGTAAGGAGGGAGTTACAGTAGTCAAGGCATGATATAATAAGGGAGTGAATGAGTTGCTTAGTGGTTTCCGGGGTTAGGAACGGTCGTATCTTGGAGATGTTGCGGAGGTGAAGTCTACATGAGTTTGTCAGCGATTGGACCTGGGGCTGAAAGGACAGATTGGAGTCTAGGATTACACCTAGTACCTTGGCGTGAGGGGTGGGACTGATGGTAGTGTTGTTGATCTTGACTCTCTCTCACAGATTTGGAGATCACAAGATCTTAGGAGCTTACATTTATTAAAACTGGTGCACTCAAATCTGGTGCAGCTGTGTATGGTAGTCAATCAGCTTCTAACTTGTTCACTTAAATTTAACAAAACTTGGAAGCCTGGAATCTGGTCTATGCAGAACGGCACCAGATTTTGCACTTTCCAGTTATAGTAAATCTCCCCCCATTACCTGTCGGTATTGGGTGCCAAAATTTAAGGACTCTTAATCAGTAGTGTCTGCTGTGGAGATATCTACAGCCAATGTGTGTTTCAATGTAATTTTAAGCGCTTCTTGGCGTACTATTAAAATATGACTGTTAAGATCTGCCTACCCTTAAGCTGGTCATACACTGAGCAAATTTCAAGTGGTTTCTGATGAATTGGCCAAATTCAAGACATGAGTGGCCTTGTTGGCACCCCCACATCCTTTGATCTGAAAATCAAGGAGCCAGGTGGAAAATTGTCCGAACAGCTGCATCCAATCCTATATAGCCACTGTTTAGGTATTCTGATGGTCTTGGGTGCCTGCTATCAGAATACCTCCATCCATGCTGTTGAACAAGAGAAATTGAATAGTATATGGCCAGTTTTACTTCAACCACCTACTTGAGTTGGTTCATTGTACTCCAAAAGTGGACACAGACCACTGTTGGACCTGGACTACTAAGTAGACATAGACCAATATTGGACCTGGACCAGCGAGTGGTGGTGTGCTGGCAGGACCTAAAATATGTGATTCAGTGCCACGCAGTATATTTACTCCTAGTGATAAATTATAATAGCGCTTGGGCGTTTATTTGATTGGCCACAGTATTTTCAATTGACATGAATAAAGGCCCAAACGGGGCTAGCTTTTCAATGCATTTATGCCACGTTTAGCATTTTTTTTAGCCAAAACATTCCTCTCTTTAACGTGATTCTTCTGCCCGTAAACTTTGCTGCTCCTAAAACTCTGGTAATAGCCTATATGTACATGGACACATAGGCTTTCATTGAGTCCAGGGGCGTTGGAAAAAAAAAAACACCAAAAGCTCCTAAACTCATTTTTAAGAGCACAAGTGTACATGAGGCATTATCAGGTTTTGAAGGGCCAGCCAAATGCATTGAGGCCATTCACACATTAGTGATATTAATCTGTTTATCTGATTGTTGACAGTCAAACAAGAAGACCTTTGTCTCATCAATTAACACAGATGACACATGATCATTTACCAATAAGGCAGTGACTAGAGAGCATTAACAATACTGAACAGACAAGGATAATTAAAGCAGACCTGACTGTGTTGTCACCCCATCCCCCACTGCCCTACCATAAAAGTGTTTAAGCTGGCCATACGTTAGTGAAATTTTAAATATTTGTACGAAAATTGTGCAAAATCTTTAATCGGAGTATTTAATCTTGCCATTATTTTCAATGAAAACAAAATTCACAGTTAAAATTTCAGTTAAGAAAAAAAAACTTCCAACCTGCTCCTTAGAATTTCCTTATCACTACGATCAAAAATGAACATCGACTTCACACCCCCCCCCCCCCGCTAACCATTAGAAAATTGAACGAATGTTCCGAAAAGAAATATCTTCTAATAAAGCTGATCTCCAGGTTTCATTCAACTTTAAATAGTTTTTTTGTACCAAGGCCCCATTCACATTACGTGATTTGGAATAGCGAACAGATTTTTAATGCACCCCAAACAGGGTGCGATTGTGCCACGAGTTTTGCAATAGGGCAGCCTGTTGGAGTGAATAGGCTGCCCTATGCGCAACAAACTGAATCACGTGAAAATTGTGCAACAAAAATCGGGAGGGGGAATGCTCGTTTCTGCTACACGATATGTGAATGGGGGCCCTAAAGTACAGGTTTTTACAATGCTTGCATTTAAAAAATAGATCTAAGGCCCGTTTCACATGGCCTCACTGTGGTTCGGCTGCAGCGCGGTGTAGTGTACTCACAGTTTTTACGCAGGTGTTCCGCGGTTTCCCTAGACTTCTATTATGTTCCAGATTTTTGGTAGAGTTTCCACCTCATCCCTTTAAAAACCGAACATATGTTAATTACACAGGTTCTGTGACTGATTAAGGTGGTAATTAAACTCAGTGCCTTATCTGCATTAAATTAGCCTCTGAACCTGTGTAATTAATATGTGTTCAGTTTTAAAGGGATGAGGTGGCAACCCTACCTGCATGCTGCGTCTTTGGTGTGCTTTCAGAAAACACACCAAAAACTAGGGTTTCCACCTCATCCCTTTAATCCCAAACATATATTAATTACATAGGTTCTGTGGCTGATTAAGGTGGTAATTAAACTCACTTAGTGCCTTATCTGCATTAAATTAGCCTCAGAACCTGTGTAATTAATATATGTTCGGGATTAAAGGGATGAGGTGGAAACCATAGTTTTTGGTGTGCTTTCTGGAAGCACACCAAAGACGCAGCATGCAGGTAGGGTTGCCACTTCATCCCTTTAAAACTGAACACATATTAATTACACAGGTTCAGAGGCTAATTTAATGCAGATAAGGCACTGAGTTTAATTACCACCTTAATCAGCCACAGAACCTGTGTAATTAACATATGTTCAGTTTTAAAGGGATGAGGTGGCAACCCTAGTTTTTGGTGTGTTTTCTGAAGGCACACCAAAGATGCAGCATGCAGGTAGGGTTGCCACCTCATCCTTTTAAAACTGAATACAAATTAATTACACAGGTTCAGAGACTATTTTCTTGTTCAAATATTTTATTGTTTTAAAGTACAACAACATAGGTTATAAGTAAGCAAATGGGATATTGGAGGTGTACAGTAAATGAACAGTAAAGGTTCCCATTTATACTAGTCAGGCAGCACTAACCAGAGTGAACAACAACTATCAAATAGAGCCTGACATGAAGGGAAGGGGGAGGGTGTACGGCTCCAAGGAAGGGGATAAGGAAAATAGCCAAATAACTGCAGTATAAGCAAAGGATGGTTCCCGTAAAGCAGAAAACATAGATTATGGGTTGAGAAGGGACTCGTCAAAGTTGGGTGGGAGGAAATGCTCCACCCATGGGTTCCAAATCTTTTTAAACTTGGGGATGGAATCTAGGATAGTGGCTTCTATTTTTGCGTGGATCATCGCCTGAGTGACCCTAGTCATAACTGCAGTCGTACTCAGTAAGGGTGAATTCCATGCTTTAGCGATAACCTGTTTGGCCGCAGTGGTGACTTGTAGAATGAGCTTAAAATTTGCCTTCGTAATGTCTGGTGGCCGATGATTGAGAAGCGCGACTAGAGGACTTGGTTGGAGGGTTGTGGCATTGAGTGCAGACAGTGTTCTGAATACCTCTGCCCAAAAAGTTTGGACGATTGGGCAATCCCACCAAATATGAAAAAATGTTCCCAGGTCTGTGCGCAGCCTCTGAAACAAACAAATTGGGGGATAATCAAGGGTAAATTTCGCAATTCTGGTTGGGACAAGATACCAGCGGGTTAATTGGTCTCCAGGGATTCAGAGACTATTTTATTGCAGATAAGGCACCAAGTGACTTTAATTACCACCTTAATCAGCCCCAGAACCTGTTTTAAAGGGATGAGGGGGCAACCCTACATGCAGGACTTTTGCTGCACTTTTAGAAAACGCTCTAACATCGTAGTACACCACCAAACCGTGCTAAAGATGTATCAGTGATTATAGAGTGGCATCCATTGTACCCTTTATTTCTGCCTGGAGTTTGGCTTTAAACATATGGCTTTTGACCAAACAAGATTGCATCTTTGTAGGGTAATGAAGCAGGTCTGAGAGACTCCCAACACTGGGGAAAATAATAGCCATCAGGCAAGATTATCCACATTGTTGATAGTTTTGTTCTTCTGAAACGTTCGTTCACAGCTGTTGGGTTCTGCCCCATTGACAAAGGTTCAATGCTCAATCTGGTCAAAGGAAAAGCCCATGGACTGTGATTTATGTCTGTCCTTAGCTTCAGAGGCACAGTGGAACCCTGAAAATATAACTGAGAAACTAAAAAGGTGGTAGACCTTCCCTGGATTTTCCTGCCATTACACATTCAATGAATAATCTTTGACTGGATTGTGGCAGTGGACTGAACCTTTGAGGGAGTGGAGCTCAACCCCCTCCCAACTGTTCTAATTCTGTAATTACACCTTTGCTTTTATATGTATAATAATAATATAATAGGAGAATTGCATAGGGTGATGACAGGCAGTATTATAGTAGGGCAGGGCTGGGCAGTAGATCATTTGTTTATATTGTCTGATAAAAAAGGATATTTAGGTTATGAAATATATCTGGGAATGTCAGGCTATACAGATGTGGGTAATAAGGACTGTTTTCAAAAAATTGAAAGACCGCGCATGGTCAGAAACAAAAGAATAAATTTTCAATAATACATTACATCGCTTCCGAAGTCGTATTCTTACGAGAATTTTCATAACTTTATTAAACTCTTCATTTTCCATATGAGACTAGCATGCAAGAAAAAAACAGACGATCATTTGTCAGATATTCTCATCTTGTGTACAAGGCATTATTCTTAATCTTACATAAACAACATAGGGGCGTATTCCTTATCTTGTTTGATGGCTGGTTCACACTACATGCAGTCTAGTGCATTTCTTTTCTGAATACAGAAAGTAAGTTACATGGTTGTCAATGGCATGGTTCACAACAGCACTTGCAGTTCCAGTTGCAGAAGAAAAAGTAGAACATGCTGCATTTTTTTTCCAGCACAGAACTGTACTGGAATACAAAAAAGCATATTAAAAAACGCACTGGAATGCATAAAAACCACGCATGCACAAACGCATCCAGACTGCGTTTCTATCGTGTGAACTAGCCCCAAGCCCAGGAGACATCCTGAGATAGTTGGATCATATAACCATGTCCAACCATTTTTTAATGTCTATGACCAACTTTGGATTATTTTTCATGGCAAGTAAATGGTAATAATATCTCACTTGGTGAGAAGACCCCTCCAAGAAATGTATATGCCCGTTAAAGCCAACAGACCCCTCCAGCAATAGCTTCAAGAAGGGCAGCCATACACTCCTGTGAAATGTCATAGTGTACTTGTCCCACGCAGAGGTAGTGTAGAATATCAAGTGTACATTACAGGGCGGGTGGGAATCCGTATTCAGGAGAACACTACCATGATGAGATCAGTAGGCTAGGGGTAAGGAAGAGAATGCCCTTAGGGTGGTATTTAAACATCATACAGGTGAATGAATTATTGACACTCCATTCTTTTGTTAAAGATGAGCCCTAGCTACAAAACCTAAACAGTAGCTCCAATCAAATAGATAACACAGCTGGACATTTTTTTTTAAAGATTTCCTTTTCAGCAACATCCAAAAAACGTTTTGTAATGAAAAAAAGGTACATTAATTATATAGACCTGTATATCTGATACAGACAAGGGACTGTTGTGAATGAAAGAGGGACAGAGAAATTTGAATTGGAAATGGGGCTAGTTGTCTAGTAGGGAGCTTTGAACTTTCTAAAGGTTAAAACGGTATTAAAGTGTTACTAAACCCACAACAGTAACATCAGTCTGTATATGTAGTAAAGCATGCTTGTTATACTCACTGTGGAAACTAAGAGGTTAACCTTCCACATTGTGTAAAAATGCTGCTTCATCCTGTCTTCTCTGATCCTCCCCTTCTTCAGGTACCCCCTCTTGTCTCCTGATAAGACATATCCGTGGAGACACTCTGCACAAGCTCAGTTTGGTGTGTATTGCTAGAGGGGGGGGGGTTTTTTTTTTTGGGAGAGTGCATGTGATCAGCACAGGGCCAATAAGCACTGTCCAGACAGAGGTCAGGGGTTCTGCATCCTCCTAGAGAAGAAAGAAAATGCTTGCTACAAGTTTTAACCAGTGCTCTGCTGAACACCGATAGAAGTCACAAGACTGATCTAACTGCTGATGAGAAAATGTATTTAGCAGTTTATATTTACTACAGTAATTGCATTTCCATGTTCTGTGTACTGTGGGAGACCAGATATAGTGAATGCAGGTCCTGGGTTCAGTAACACTTTAAACCCAAAACCTGATATTGAACATATTGTAGTTCACTAATCCTTAGATGTGGTGGCTGCATTAGTTTTCTTTTTTTTAGGCTTTATCCCCTCTGTTTTTCACCAGGTGATCTGGCCAGTAATACACCTCCTGTGTTACAGTGCCTCCACTCTGGATGAAGGAGCACAGGGGGCACCGTTGGACAGCAGCATCGTCAGTCTTGGGGGAGGAGAGGTTTGGATGTTTAAACAGATTTAGATACATTAACAAATTGAAGCCAGACTCCAGCTAATACTTTTTTAGCAGTTACAGTAACAGGTTTCTTTCTTTTGGGATAAAAGGTTTTATGTAGATAAGTAAAAGGCCTTCCTCTTAGATTGTAACCTCCCAGGATCAGGCCCTCCTAACCCTCTTGTATTGAACTGTATTGTTGCTGTATTGTCTCCCTTCATTTTGTAAATGCTGAGCAAACTGTTGGCGCTATATAAATCCTGTATAATAATAATAATTAAGAAAAAAAAAGGTGATCATCTGAGCACTCTGTCAGTGTCACATGGTTTGTATCGACCTTCTAACTGCTACAACTGCAGTACCACTTGTTCTATTGGAAAAACAGACATAAAGTGGAACTTCGCTCTATCAATCAGCGTGGACTTTTTTTAAATTCCTATGCTGTTAGTATTAGTAAATGGATAGGAAAGTATATCATATTTATTTGTTTTAAACTTTGTTATACATATCTTCAGTTACATCCTGAATTCCATGCCAAGAACAAATGGTTTTATACATGCCAGGAGTCTTTAGGAGGGGAGGGGGGGTTATCAGCTCAGCCAATGCCTGTGCTAAGGGCAGATGGATTGCAGGAAGTAAATGCTACATGAATCATCTGCCCTTACTCAAGATGGCCACTGCCAGAAATGCCGGGGGGTGTTTCAAAGTGATTTCTCAGCAAAATACAACACATAGCACATTAAATAGCGTTCTTGGTTTGTGATGCTCAAAGTGTAGTTGCTTTAAACCAGCCACAGATGGATCGAATTTGATCCATCTATGGGCATGCTGGTTGTATGAAGTCGATCCATCTATGGGCATGCTGGTTGTACTGAAGTCGATCCATCGACAGACTTCAGTGCAACCAGCCTGTCAGATTTTTTGCATGTGATCACTCCCAGTGGCTGTAGCTGCTAGCAGTGATCATTGTATTTTGCCGTCCAGGAAGGCTCCCTGCCGGTAGACACAGCAGTGCTGCAGGAGGCATTCCCCCACCAACAAAGTCAGTGTTGATGGGGGAAATGCCTCCCGCAGTGCTATTGTGTTCTACCGGCAGGGAGCCTTCCCGGCCAGCAGAGTACAACAATCACTGCTAGCAGCTACAACTGCAGAGAGTGACTGCATGCAAAAAATCTGACAGGCTGGTTGTACTGTCACCTGTGGTGGAAGGAAAGAAAATTGAATAACCTATGGCTTGCTTTACTGGCCAGATCACCAGGTGACAATAAAAGAAAATTAATGCAACTGTGGGTATAGGATTATAACTTTTTTACTATGGTCGAACTGGATGGACTTTTGTCTTTTTTCAGCCAGACTGACTATGTAACTATGTAATGCAGCCACCACATCTAAGAATTGGTAAGCTGCAATATAATACGTTTGCTTTTTGGGTTTAATAACCTAAACTAAATTCCAGATATAAAATACATAAATTAAGCTGAGCTGAGCTGTGTAAATCCCAGAACTGGATGAACAGAAATACAAATCCTTGTGCAAGTAATCCAACCCCATATATGTATTTCATCTGTGTATTTAGTGGTTTGCCACTTTAAACCTGTCTTGATTTCTGTATTGAAGAACAGTGCAGAATATATTGATTCCTAATTAAGGAATGAAGTAAGTAATTATTATTCTTTCTTGCTCTTTAGAATCCACTTGGAAGATCTGAGCCAAAGCGTGATTCGTCACATGTCGGAGAAGCTTGGTTACAAGCACAGTGATGTCATCAATGTCATTCTGTCCAATCGGGCTTGTCATACCCTCGCCGTCTACTTCTTGCTGAACAGAAAGTTGGAGCGCTACTTAATCGCCATGAGGGTGCGTTCACCTCTATAATTATTAGCCATTATTATGTGGGTCATGTTCGCTGGGCTGGCTTGTGATGGTGGAAGGAGGGATGGTTGGGGGCCATTGAAGGATGGGGATGGAAGATTTAGTGAGGATTACCGGGAAGCAATGATTATCACAATCACACTACTCTGTTATCTGCGTTTACTGCAGAATGTGCTGCACTGTGTAATTAACATCTGTTTCCTTTCATTCCAGAAACCTGACATTAACGACAACGTGTGCCACAAGAACCAGATGCATCCATTAGACAAATACAAGGCAAACAAGAACTCCTACGAGGTGAGAGCCCCAGTCATCACAATATTCTTTTCCTATAATACCAGGAAAATGGAACACAAGAGCAGAGTATCCATGGACATGTCGGATGGGATCACACTACTCACAGAGAAAAACATTCCCTTTTCCTCTACAGTTAGTGATCTCATCTGGGTTTTTACAACGCAAGGCACCGTTTCCCCCTTTTTTTCTAAACTTTAACTGATTGTCACAAAGTGGTTGTAAAGGGGTCAAGGTTTTTTATCTTCATGCATTCTATTCTAACCCCCCATAATATTCACCTAAGTCCCCTCTCGATCCAGCAATGTGCACTGGAGTCTCCTCTATCCTGGGACTTCCTCTCCTCACTGGCTGAGACAGCAGCGGGGGCCATTGGCTATTGACTCCCACTACTGCCATTCACAGCCAGTGAGCTATGCTCGAAGGTAAAAACCTTCTGTCTGCAGCAGCGCCCCCCAGCCCCCCAATACTTGAGCCCTATGTTGATTCAGTGATGTGCACGAGAGTCTCTGCTCTCCCGGAACTCTCCCTCCTCATTGGCTGAGACAGCAGCAGTAGCCATTGGCTAATGCTACTGTCATTCACAGCCAGTGAACCATTGAGGAGCCATGCTCTGCATGTGAATGGAGCTCTGAGTGAGCCTGCTCGGGTGCCCCCATCACAAGCTGCTTGCCATGGTTGCACTTGGCAGAAGGGAGGGGCCTGGAGTGCCTTTGGGGGACCTAGAAGAGAAGGATTGGGGCTGATGTGTGCAAAACCACTGTACACAGCAGGTAAATATAATACGCCTTTAATATCACTTTAATTTCTTTGCACGGCCGCTCATCTGCCATGCATAAAAACACAGGATCACACAGGCGGCTGCAGAGCATTGCAGGAAAAATGCAGACAGCTTGCCCTGCAGTTTGGAAGTGTAAGCAGGGCACACAGGGCCCTTGTGAAGAGCAATGGTTTTACACAGAGTAGCCCCAATCTTCTTCTTGGGTCCTCTGCCAGCACTCTAGGCCCTTCACCCCTGCTGAGAGCCCCCAGCATAAGCCATTTGCTATGGGGTCACTCCCGAGCCTCGCTCAATGTGTCCATTGACTCACACCTCACTGGCTGTGATTGACAGCAGCAGAAGCCGATGGCTCCTGCTGCTGTGACTGAGCCAATGAGGAGGGAGAAAGCTGGGAGAGCCGCTGCTCTTGTGCACATTGCTGGATCAAGATCAGGTTCAAGTAAGTATTAGGGAAGGCTGGGGGGGGGGGGGGGTGCTTTGAACACAAGAGTTATTTTTACCTTCATGTATAGATTAAAAAAAACCTTCAGCCTTTACAACCACTTTTACATTTGATTTTGGCACGAATGGAACTTCCTGAGTAAAGACCAAAAACACTTAAGACAATTTGAAGAAGCAGGATGAAAAATATTTCTCAAGTGAACAAGTTTTTATCATTTGGTCTAAAGCTATTGTTTGACCCCACTAATGATTAGAAAATTGAACAAGCATTCTGAGAATTCAAATTTTCAAACAAACTGGCCAACTTTAAACAATCAAGGCAAAAAAAAAAATAATTTTTGAAGCTGACTTTTAAACTGGGAGGTCTAATACTCATCCGGGAAGTTTTCGGCAATACATTCAGACAAAATAGATCAAAGCGGAGGGAAAGCAATTCTCATAAACATCACTGAAAAGTAAAAACAGATCATTGCAGAAAGCTAGCAGGATGTGAGCGCTCCATTCATTGTGTTCCTTGGCCTGCTGCAGATAAGGAAGCCTCTTTGTTGACGTCTAATGTTACAAGCCCGGTTATTCAGGGAGAACAGAACCTCAACATGGTCTGGTTCAGTGGTTTCTCCGCTGGCTCAGGATGTAATACAATAGGCAAGTGATGAAATGCGGTTAAGGCTTGGCAGATGGAGCGTGTGTCAGCGATGGTCAGGGGAGAAGCTTCCTGTTCAGTGAAAAGCCAGGAGAGAATCGGAAACCCCTCCTAAGGTTCCACTTTCTAAAGGAATGAAAGCGGAGGCTGTGCCTGGAACATGTGATCCAAGGAAACGCTGCACCCCCTTCCCCATACTCAGCCCTGAACTGTGACATCACCTCTGTACACATGGGAGCTCCAACATACCGCCGTGTAAAACCACTTCATTCATTCACAGCACCGCGTCAGAAAAACACATCATTCAAAAATATATCTTTTTATCTTTAAAAGTTTTATTGAAGAATATAGAAGGCTTTGTGTATAGTCCCCAGATAAGGAACAAAAAGGTAAATCCTGGATATTATAATGTGCGCATCACACTTAGGCTACATGCATATGGACAGAAAAAAATGTCGCTCCTAGAAGCATTTTCCTTTTTTTTTTTTTAAAAAACACTGCTAATTATTAGCCAATTTGTCCATGCACATTGTGGCATTTATATTCCTTTATTAGGGCCAGTTCACACCATGAATATGTGCATTCCTGTGCAATTCACACGTAATCAGGGTGCAGTGGGATTTCATCCAATTCATGTGAAGGGGCTTAAGTGCAAATGGGCAGAAAAAAATGGCACTCCTAGAAGCATTTTCCTTTTTTTTATGCTTCTAAACACTGCTAATTATTTTCCAATTTGTCTGTGCACATTGCGGCATTTATATTCATATATTAGGGCCAGTTCACACTATGAATCGTACAGGATGACGCTGTGCGTTTCTGTGCAATTCACACGTGATCAGGGTGTAGTGCGATTTTATCCCATTCATGTGAAGGGGCTGAAATGCAAATGGACAGAAAAAAAATGGCACTCCTAGAAGCATTTTCCTTTTTTTTATGCTTCTAAACACTGCTAATTATTTTCCAATTTGTCTGTGCACATTGCGGCATTTATATTCATATATTAGGGCCAGTTCACACCATGAATCGCACAGGACGACGCCGTGCATTCCTGTGCAATTCACTCGTGATCAGGGTGCAGTGCGGTTTCATCCCATTCATGTGAAGGGGCTGAAATTGAGCCAGACCACGGGAAAAGTAGTGCATGCACTGGATTAAAAAATGCACAGCAGTTAGATCGTACCATGCGTGCCATGCAATCTGGGGCAGGCTAACGCACTGCATTTGCGACCTGTGTTTGGGGTGTCATTAAGTTAACACTGACACCCACTGAAGATCACAAGTGCAGTGCGTTTTGAATGTGGTGCGGGAAATACGCATGGTTTCCTGCACCTCATTCTTTTAGGAACCGGCCCTTAGAGCAGCTTTTAGGTGAATTAATTAAAAAAACCTGCATTCAGAGAGAAGTATACTGGAATAATATACATATATGCATACATAAACACGCATGTAAGGACAGGATATCAGCATAGTGACTAGAACAAATGAATAGTCTAATTACACGCCTTACGCACATGAACGCACATGTGCGCATCAACGCATGTAAATATGAGCCAGATTAAGCATTTTTTAGGCCTCATTCATACAGGCAAACTACTTCATACACCTGTGTGAGAGCCGTGTTTATATGTACTGGGATGCACAAGTGTTCCATGCATCCCTGTGCAGGCAGTCTCATTCATATCAATTGGGAAGCGGTGGCTACACGGACCACTGCTCCTGATTTGACATCTGTGTAGGTGCATGCACCCGAATGTACACTTTCTGTGTTGGGGTCGTGCACCGGCACAGATGTCCATTTGGAAGCAGTGGCTGCGTCCGTGCAACCGCTGTTTTCCAATTGTCATGAATGGGACTGTTTGCACAGGGATGCATGGAACACCTGTGGGGATAAAGATGTGCCTTGCTCTGGTGCCACCATGTCAATGACACCTTATGCTGGATTTTTCTGACAACTCCTGGCAGAAAGGTAAAGCATAAATAGACATATTTTAAAGCAACTCCGTAAAACAACCCATTTCGTTTAAAATTGAAAGTCAAAACGTGTGTATATAAATAAAGAGAATATGAATACCTTTTTTATAAGTAATCATATAATTTCTGTTCTCAGCTGCATAAGGGGCTTAGAGAACTGGGGGTGGAGAAACAGCAGTACCCTGATCTTCCCAGTGTATGGCTGTGCAGGGGGGCGTGTCGGCACAAGTCTGATCATTGGAAGACAGGCAAGCTGCTCTCCCAGCACAGCCAGAAAATGTATCACTCTGAGATGAATGTGCTCTCATGCCTAGTGTGGTCAGTTTTAAATAGGAAAGAAGGAGAACTGGTAGGATCATCAGGTATTTCACACAAAGGAAGAAATACAAAGAGAACTGGATACTTTTTAAAACAAGTAACATTTTGGGGTAACATATTCATTAACACACCCATGTGCCTGGATCCTATAAGAGGAGACTTTTTTGCTTTTTTCTGCACTTACAAAACCCAAAGTCTCTACAATGGCAGACATAAAATAGCTGGTTTCTATGTGCCCTGTTCACACCACAACAGAGCGGAGAGATGCAGGAAATTGCAAACACGCTGACACGGTATACTATGAAAACTTAGGAAATGTCTGAAAATCGCACTCAATGCTAAAAATGTGTTTTTTGATGAAGAAGTCTCTAGTTTCAAAAAAATAAAAATATTGATGACAAGCTAATAATGAGGACAGGTCAGATGATAAGACTCAGTGACTTTGGTATGTAGGATCGCAGTCAATCACAGAAGTGTTACCACATAGGTTTGTTAGGACTGGGCTTTAGCCGGTTACAAATATCTACTAAATACAGGGCTGGTTTGTAGTAAAGTCACAACACCTCTGTTTATATTCTGAGCTTTAAACTGCAATTAATATCCAAGTACCACCCAGCACGCACACTCCGCTCCTCACAAGACCTCCTTCTCTCTAGTTCCCTGGTCTCCTCCTCCCATGCCCGCTTCCAGGACTTCTGCAGGGTGTCACCCATCCTCTGGAACTCCCTGCCCCAACCCATCAGATTATCAGCTACTCTCCTCTCCTTTAGGCACACCCTGAAAACCCATCTCATCAGGGAAGCCTACCCCACCCCCTGCTAAAGCCGACCTCCTCCACTCTTCGTACCAATAAATTCCCGTATCACCCAGCTATCTCCTCCTGTGCCACCATCCCCCTCCATCCTAGAGTAAGCAAAAAGCAGGGCCCTCGAACAAATTGTATTGGTATTGTTCTGTCACAAATGTACAGCGCTGAGCGAACTATTGGCGCTTTATAAATACTGTATAATAATAATAAAATTCACCATTGTTTAGGTTAAAGCGATCAGTCTACTGCACAATCATTTTTTCATGTTTTTAGTAATGTGATAAGTCAGAAAAAAAACATCATGGTATCTTCCCAAGTCTTAAGCTGGTCATATATGATGCGATTTTCTTTCCTGCAACCACAAGTTATGGAAAGAAAATCACCTGGTTTCCCCATCAACACTGTCAGTATTGTTGGGGGAATCCCTCCTGCAGAGCATTGTGACCCAGCAGGAGGGCCATATAGGAAACATAGTGATTACTCCTCATGCACACGGGATGTTTATAAGCCGTTTTTGCTTTTGACATTTTTTTTCAACGGCCATGACTAAACCCCCCCCCCCCATGTTATGATGTTTATCCTATGTGTCCATGCACACATAGACTGTAATTTGGTACAAAAAAACTCTAAAAACCGCAAACGCAGTGAAAACACCGCTAATTCTGGTAAAACGCTTCTAAACGGTTATGCAAAAACGCTAAAAAAGCTGAAAAACTCACGTAACGTGACTTTACACAGCTAACACCAGTGTTATTAAAATGTCCGTGTGCATGAAGACTACTGCTAGCAATAATCGCATGGTTAAATTCAACAGGGCAAACAGATGGAGCGATTTCCAAATAGGTTAGTATACCATAGTTTTAAAAATATCACATCCCGAACTTCCCTTTTAAGTACGGCAAGCACAGTATGCATCAAAAAAGAAGGCATGCCTCAAGGCCTATATGAAACAAAACATAAATGTCATGAATCACTTTCCTAGTATCATTCCTATGCCGGCACAAGTGGTTGGGGCCCATTCATCTGTGATTATATACCAGCTGATAATTCCTAGGGCTCTTGAAAAAATATGATTCCGATCCATTTTTACAGGATGGAAGGGTAGATGTGCATAAAGAGGAGCGCACTGCTTGAAATGCTTACTGTCTTCACCACTAGGTTTGTGGACTACATACCACTTTCTGTGAGAAAAACAAGCACTTCCCAATAGATCTTCTAAAGCCTGTTTGAAAATACGATGTGGTATATCTTGTTTCTATACAATAGCACCAAATGTCTCCCATCCTGTAGTGAAACAGACAATATATGGAAAGTCACTGAAAGAGCTTACACAGTCTATAAAGGGATATATAGGTCAACCAACATGTCACATAGGACCATGTTATTCTAGTTCCCGCAAACGTCCACTCACCTCCTGTGCAATGGATAAGAAGGAGAGGAAAGAATATCCTTCTAGAGACGCCATCACCATGCCATTTGCCTCATTACTGCCACAGGAGGCCAGGGAGCCACCGCTGTGACATCCGCCGATATACCGCGGGCTCCAGCCTCTTCTCGGCGCCTGTGCTGCCTAAGCTTGCCTCATGGCATGTGAAAAATGGCTTCCTCCTTGTAGGTCAGCGTGCGTTCCACCTAATGCGCATGACGGAAGTGACGTATCTGACGTCTATGACGTCAACGCGTTTCGCCGATGGGCGTATCTCACTCAGCTTCGTCAGGACCAGGTCTTTTTATATGGTTTTAGGTCTGTGTGTATTGTCTCATACTGAGGTGGTGGTAAACCAGGGCGATTGCCCATATGTCAAATTTGTATGTGTAATAAAGCATAATTTTTGGAAATTTTTCTGAGTATCACATTCTGTTCATAATGTAGCCGCTTTCTTTGTGAATTTCTTTTCACAACCTCTCTTTTTTTGTAAGCCTACCCCACCCCCTGCTAACTTGCCGACCTCCTCCACTCTTCCTACCACCCCATCCCCCACAGCTATCTCCTCCTGTGCCACCATCCCCTCCCTCCTAGATTGTAAGCTCGAAAGAGCAGGGCCCTCAATCCCCTCATGTTTTGCATTGTATTGGTATTGTTCTGTCACATGCTTGGGTCCCCCTTTGTAATGTACAGCGCTGAGAGCGAACTATTGGCGCTTTATAAATACTGTATAATAATAATAATTACCATTGTTTAGGTTAAAGGATCAGTCTACTGCACAATCATTTTTCAGTTTTTAGTAGATACTTATAAGTCAGACCAAAGAAAACATCATGGTATCTTCCCAAGTCTTAAGCTGGTCATATATTATGCGATTTTCTTTCCTGCAACCACAAGTTGCTGGAAAGAAAATCACTTGGTTCCCCATCAACACTGTCAGTATTGTTGGGGGAATCCCTCCTGCAGAGCTATTGTGTTCTCCCAGCAGGAGGGCCATCCCCTCCAGGAGAACATAGTGATTACTCCTCATGCACACGGGATGTTTTTACAGCGGCCGTTTTTGGCTTTTGACATTTTTTTCAACGGCCAGTAAACCCCCCCATGTTATGCATGTTATCCTATGTGTCCATGCACACATAGACTGTAATTTGGTACAAAAAAACTCTAAAAACCACAAACGCAGGAAAACACCGCTAATTCTGGTAAAACGCTTCTAAACGGTTATGCAAAAACGCTAAGAAAAGCTGAAAAACTCACGTTTTTAACGTGACTTTACACAGCTAACGTTACCAGTGTTATTAAAATCGTCCGTGTGCATGAGGACTTACTGCTAGCAATAATCGCATATAAAAATTCAACAGGCTATTGCCAGATGGAACGATTCTGCATCCACATAGGTGAGTATAATTGTTTGTTTTTTGTTTTTTTACATCCCGAACTTCCCTTTTAAGTACTGCTTGTGATAATCAAATAGGAGTATGGGCAGCAGATGCAAGTGCTATAAACAAAAAACAATCCATGACATCACTTTCCTATATCATCTAGTGTGCTGACCAAGCTCTCTTAGAGAGAACAAAACCTTTCTCATTTAGTATTTAGTATATGAACTTATAAAGAGAATTTATTACCGTGCAATCTTTTGGAGAAAAATCATTTTTTGATTCCGATCTGCCTGGTTGTGATTGACAGTTTAGGTCACCTTTGTGAAAGAGGAATTCTGACTTGTTTGCTCTGCCTTACTGTCCTTTACTTTGACTTTAGGTTTTGTTGTCTAACATTTCTTTTATGGCTGGTTTGGTCTAATGGTGAACTGTGCTCTTGATTTTTAGGAGCGAAAATCTAAAGACCCCGAAAAGCGAAGTGAGCAGCGATCTGCTCAGAAGAAGATAGAGAAATGCTCTCCGTCCCACAGGCAACCCCCATGTCCAATGATACACAATGGAAAGCTTCCCCTCAAGGAGCGAAAATCCTCCAAGTCTGAACGAGGTAAAGATTACTGCCTATGGGATCCGCAACCAACATTGGGTGTCACATATAGATAGATATGTCATTCTAGTTAAAAAGACAAACGTGTATGCTCCTCTCTCTGGGACAAGATGTGCTGAAGAACAAAAACGCATTTATATTAATGAGCGTACTTCTAGAGACGCCATCACCATGCCCATTTTGCCCTCATTACTCTTACAGTGGGCTGTGACATGCAAGGAAGAAGGGGGCTGTGCTAGGGAATTGACTTATCCTGGAATAGTCACATTTCCCAGCAAGCTCAAAGTGATATATGGAAAAGAAAACACTGCAAGTAAGCTGGTGACCTCTTTAAAGTTTAAAGTGATACTAAAGGCTTGCACTTTTTAAAAAATAACAAACGTGTCTGTACTTACCTGCTGTATGCAGTGGTTTTGCACAGAGCAACCCAGATCCTCCTACTCCGCTGGTGCTCCCGGCCCGTCCCCCCTGTCGGGAGCCCCCACAGCCAGCAGCTTGCTATGAGGGCACCCGCTTCTCCGTGTGTCCATTCACACATATGGAGCTGCAGCTTGGCCCAGCCCCCTCTCTCTTCTTATTGGCTTACTGGCTGTGATTGGCAGCCAATGGCTCCCACTGCTGTCTCAGCCAGTGAGAAGAGGGAGTCCCGGGATAGAAGAGACTCCATGCACATTGCTGGATCGAGAGGGGACTTAGGTGAGTATTAGGGGGACTGTGGGGGATGCCGCACTGAGAAGGTTTTTTAACTTCATGCATAGAATGCGTGACGGTAAAAAACCTTGAGCCTAACTACTTTAACCTGTCGCTGGGAACTAGCATTATGTATTTTTAGAAAGAATGCCTGTATGTGTCCAATTTATGAAACTCAAGCTTCTGCCAACTTAGGTTGTGTTTTATGTAAATACTTTCTTTTTTGGCGATGTTCATTCCTCCCAAACCAACAGTTTTTTTGTGGACGTCTCACCCTTTATAAGCTTTAGGTCACAATTACTGTTGCTGCTGATGTTTAAGAAAGGGACACTTGCCTGTCAAAGGATCCAGCATCATCCTCACCTGGGATGGGTTTTTGCTGGTCTTCAGGTCTCCGGTGCAGACATGTTTAATGTGGGAAGCCAACTGTCATTCCTTTTGGCTTCACATCTTGCTTCGCACTGTGCATGGGCGAGATGTATTGTACTGTGTGAATGGTCCTGCAGCCTCCTGAGAGCTGTGAAGTGTCCCAGAGGGTTGCAGGCAAGGGGGGTGGGAGAACCTCCAGTTCCAAAGAGGAAGGGGGAGGAGGACAAGAGGAAGGGGGAGGAGGAAGACATAAAGCTGAACTTCCCTTTTAATGTAAAGTTCCGCTTTAAGTGCAAAACCCAGCAGGAAATGTGTTGGGTGGTCTTATCCTTTTACATAATTAGGGATAAGGTGATAGTAACACTATCAGTGCACTTATGACAACACAGTGAGCGCTGTAAATGCAGCAGTGGTTTGTTCTACAGCTCAGGCTTTTGAGGGATCTACTACTTGGACTGGAAGAAGAGAGTAGATCTCTCGAGAGCTTGGAGTAATGTAATACCTACAGTGCTCAAATGTCTTCGCACAACTAAAACCCAAGTAAATATCAATAAATAATGTATGAGCTGGTGAAAGAAGGATAATACATTTTGTATTCAGAAAGCAGAAGTTGACGTTTCTTTCTTTATTGCAGAATCCACTGGAGGGTTAAGCCCATTCCATGAAGTCAGGTTTAATAAAACTGGATGTGTCACTTCCTGCTCTTTGGAGTATCTGGAAATGCAAAGTCCGGATCCACGAACACCAAAAATGATGAGACGCCAAGACTCCCACTCCCAAGAGACTGTAAATATGAATATGAGTGGTCGTATGAGAGAACCCCACCTCAATGTTGTGCGTTCCTTCGAGTCTGTGAACAGAGAAGACCAAATAGAGTCTTTATCCCCATCCCACCAGTACCGAGTGATCGGTTCACCAGTCTCCTTCTCTCCTCGTCACTCAAGTGAAAGAACTCTGTCCCCAATCTTTCAGTTTGATAGCACCACCCCAGTGAAGGCCCATTCCACACTGTCCTCCTTCACGTACGAGGACAAGAGCAGCCCGTCAAGCTCCGAGTCCATGTCCCCAACTTCCCCCCACTCCCCATCTTGTAATAACAATGGAAACCTGGGTAGCCCAAACTGTGTCAGAAGCCGAGGGCGATTTCCCATGATGGGTATTGGACAGATGTTGAGGAAGAGGAGCCAAGTTACCTCTCCAAAACCTGAAAACGCCCTGGAATCCCGAATGCCAGCTTTGCATCAGATGAGCCCGGGATATGCCAGCTTCAACTCCAGTGACATGAATGGGTTTTGCTGATAGACATCTTTAAAGAACTGTTCTTTTGCCCCGCCTCTGAGGAACTCCCAGATTTAGAGAGAGAGAGGAGAATGTTGCTATTCTTGCAAATGTGAATTTTGTAAAATTACAGATTGTATCCATAAAGCTTGATTTTGTTCTACTTTTTCCTCATTGATAAACTATGTCACTTCCTTAACTTGCACTTCTATGGTATTGATGTTGGTGAGTCTCCAACCTCCAACAGTGTAATGGAATTTTACAAGGCAACGTTCCCTTGAAGACTACAAAACTGTGTTTTTGTACATCTACTACATACCAAGTGCTTCAATCTGCTGTAACTAAACTTTATTGACATAATCAAGGCTGTGGAGAAGTTACATTACCTACCTGGGTACCTACCTGTTTTTCTGACAGGTTGCTTTCCTGCACTGACCTTGATGCACTTGACTCTGTTAAAAAAAAAAAACTGCGAACTGGAACAACTTGTGCTGAAAACAGCCATTATAAAAAGGACAGAATCTTATCACAACTCGTTGAAGTACTAGTGTTTATATTTCATATTGCATTATCATTCCGTTCATTGTTCCATCTTCCAATTTGTTCCCTGCACAATGTTTTGTAGATACCTGTTCATGCACATGAAAGACCGAGTGACTGCGTTTTCTGAAATTAGGGTTCAATTACAGATACATCTCAGCAGAAGAGTTTTGCCTGTACCCTCAACCCCTTCTACCGTTCCCCCATGTTATATGATATCTGCCCATTGGCACGTATGCCGGGATACAGCACGGCTAGCTAGTATATAGGCCATCATTTTACTAGTACTACTAATTCTCCCTTGGTGAGTTTTTTGTATATATTATGGCCTAGAGATACCGGTTTCCAAATTCTACATGAACTTGTCAAACCTCACTTTAAAGCTGAACTCCGAAAATGCAGATATTGTCTAAAAACATTGGGCATGTGTATTCTTTCTTGAATCTTGGCGTCCTTCATGGTCTTCTCCCTGCATACAATAATTCAGTATAAAACTTTACCTGTGCAGGAGCTTCCTGTAATGAAGACCGGTTGCTGCTGCTGCTCTCTTTCCTTGGGCTGGGTGACTGGTCTTGTCTCCGCCCCTTTCTGTACAGGCAGCCTGTAGTAGGTGGACCTGCTGGGCTCCTCCCACAGCTCTGCTCTATGCACAGCTACAGTACAGTGGTGATGTCACTACTGCTTTCACAAAGTAATATCTAGATTGGCAAAGGCATTGGGTGCACACAAAGTGGATTTATATTCTTTATGGCTATTGAGGAATGTATTTTAATGAAAGTTTTTGAGCCCAGTATTAAACTTAAGGTTGGCCTACTGTGTTTGCAAATTAAAAATAGCCATTTTAGCGCTCTAAAGCCAAATTTCAGGCAGATATTAAAAAAACACCATTAATGCATTTATGTACTCATTTGAAAAAATCATTAAATTATTATAAATGTTGTTAGTGTAAGCACCTGAATTTGAATTGTCATTGGCCTCTTGTCACCCCCTGCACAGCAGAGCTCAGACTAGGAGAAGGAAAGGCGTGCACTGGGAGCCAACTAGGCGTGCTGTAGTGCTAACAAGGAACATACAGACAGGAGGGTAGGAAAGTGAGATGACTTCATCAGAATTTCACTGCTCCCTCACTGTCCATTCACAGGCTAAGGGCCTACAAAAGCTAGGGTCCAGCAGAGAAAAAGTCAGGTGGCTGTACTGTATGGTGGGGCTGTGTAAATCTCAGGACTGGACAGACAGAAGTATAATCTGCATTGTGTAAAAAGGATGTTTGATCCTGACTTCTCTGATCCTCCCTTTCTTCCAGTGTCTCCCTCTTATCTCCTAATAAGACATATTGTGTGGAGACACTGCACATGCTCAGTTTGGTGTGTATTGCTAGAGAATTTTCTTTTCTTTTCTTGGGAGAGTGCATGTGATCAGGACAGGGCCAATCAGCACTGACCAGACAGAGGTCAGGGGTCCTGCATCCTCCTAAAGAAAACTCCTCCTGCAAGCTTTAACCAGTGCTCTGCCAGACACTGATAGAAGTTACAATACTGCTCTAACTGCTGATGAGAAAAGGTATTTAGCAGTTCATATTTACTAAAATAATTGCATTTCCATGTTGTGTGTACTGTGGGAGACCAGATATAGTGAATGCAGGGTCCGGGGAGACCAGATATAGTGAATGCAGGGTCCTGGGTTTAGTAACACTTTAAGGCAGGCCATAGATGAGTCAAAATCCAAAAGTTGTGAAGAAATGAAAAATAGGTCATACGATTGTGCCATCAATTGCTTTTCTAATAAAAATTCATCATGTTGGATCAGGCACTTTTGAATGCGGCATGAAAATTGCATGTCGTAGTTGGCACACTAATGATGCGAAAAATGAACAATTCAAAATTTACGTTCGGTTTCTCATCGTCTATGGCCTGCTTAAGTGGAGGATAGAAGCCAAATCTACTTGCTGTTTTAAAACAAAGTCTTCTCTTCTAAAGCTGAGATCCTTACAAACCCTTAAGAGAGTAAATTAGTCTTATCTCCCTGGAATTCAGCAACTTAGCAAACAAAACATGAATCTAGACCTACTCAACATTCTTGAAATGATCGCCAGCTGCAACCATAGGATGATCAAAGTATGAAGGCTTTGAAGTACAATAGCATTTCCATAATGTTCAGGTTACAATTATACAACCCAGTGACAATGAATAGACTGGTATGTCTTTGTATATACATTTTTTTGTGTTTAGTCCCAGGCATTGCTGCTACAATTTCACAAGATAAAAGCCAACACGACAGGTGTTTAGGTCAATCATCAATTCGTTTTATCCTGCTTTCCACAACAACCTTCCTATGACTTCAGAAACCTCTGCACGGTATAATTGCTCCTCCTGTCTTCTCTCATATAGAGTGTCCTAGACCAGGGGTCTCCTAATGGGGTGCAACATTTTATGCAGCCCTTTGAAGTAAGAGGGGACTCTTGATGGGGACCTGGATGTAAGGGGGGACTCTGATGCGGACCTGGATTTAAGGGGGGACTCTGATGGGGACATGGATGTAAGGGGGGACTCTGATGGGGACCTGGATGTAAGGGGGGACTCTGATGGGGTCCTGGATGTAAGGGGAGATTCTGATGGGGACCTAGATGTAAGGGGGGACTCTGATGGGGAGCTGGATGTAAGGGAGGACTCTGATGGGGACCTGGATTTAAGGGGGGACTCTGATGGGGACCTGGATTTAAGGGGGGACTCTGATGGGAACCTGGATGTAATGGGGGACTCTGATGGGGACCTGGATGTAAGGGGGGACTCTGATGGGTACTTTGATGAAAGGGGAGATTCTGATGGGGACCTAGATGTAAGGGAGGATTCTGATGGGGAGCTGGATGTAAGGGAGGACTCTGATGGGGACCTGGTTGTAAGGGGAATTCTGATGGACACTTTGATGTAAGGGGGATTCTGATTGGGATATGGATGTAAAGTGGGATTCTGATGGGGACCTGGATATAAGGGGGGATTCCGATGGGGACCTGGATGTAAGTGGGGATTCTAATGGGTACTCTCATGTAAGGGGGGGGGAGTCTGATGGGGAGTCTCATGTAAGGAGGGAGTCTGATGGGGACTCTCATGTAAGGGGGGAGTCTGATGGGGGATTTTCATGTAAGGGGGGAGTCTGATGGGGAATCCCTTGTAAGGAGGGAGTCTGATGGGGACTCTCATGTAAGGGGGGAGTCTGATGGGGATTCTCATGTAAGGGGGGAGTCTGATGGGGAATCCCTTGTAAAGGAGGAGTCTGATGAGGACCTGGATGAAAGGAGAAAAGCACATAAAAAACACGCCTAAATCTGGAGGTGTGTTTCTGCCAGAATATTAAATTGAATTCTGGCCATTGAAATGAATGAACACTCAAGCACCAAAGACACCTCGTGTTTAGGTACATTTAGAGGCATTTAGGCTCGTCGCCATTATTCTGCCAAAAACCTCCTCTCTTAAATGCGCAATTGATAGTAATTTTTTATTCTGCCGCTAAAAGCTCCTGCTTCTAAACGCCTGTAAACATCTGTGTGTGCATGAACACAGAGGCCAACATTGAGAAGACAAAAAAATACGTCTAATTCCTGTAAAAGCTGTGTTTTTGATGCCCAGTGTATGAGGCGTAAACCATTTTTCTCTCCTTTGTAAACTTCTAATCCCATCAATCCACCATGTAATAGAGATGAACAAAGACAGGTTCCAACCCAGGTGACAACCATGGCTCCCTCCTTAGATATAGTGGAGAAATGAGTGTAGACACAAAGTGATAGGAAGTGTGTAATACACAGAAAAACCAGGTAAAAAAAGAAGAAAGAAAGCCTAAACATAAAAACTAATGCAGCCACCACATTTAAGGAATGGTAATATAGCCCATTTTTTTTTGGGGGTTAGGTACGCCTTAACACATCTCTCTAAAACTGCAATGTTTTCAGAATAAATACAGACTGCCTGCTAAGTTTCCTCTGTCTATGTATAACTCGGCGCCTTTTCTAAGGTGGGGGTCTGTGGAATTCAGCTGAAACGCACGCTGTTAATGACACCCTGTGTGATGGGATTTTTTTTTCTCTCTTTATGAGTGTGTGTAGACAGGAAGCAAAACCTGGCAGAGTCACTAGCCGATCAGATCTGTCAGCTGCGTGCTATACTGCTGCTAATGAATCCTTTGTTCTCACTCCGAAGCAAAGAATGTGTTCTGAAGATGTCAGTGATTTGGGCAGAAATATGGGAACATATTACATGAATATATAATTAGCGCTTATTGTTAGAAGATGTAGCAGAAGAAAATGTTCCTGGTGTTTCTTCCTTGCCACATGTAACATAAACCATCAAAGGCTGTTTGTTTCCCTGTAACATGGATGGTGTTTAAGTCACTGTACATTTTATTTAATTCACACATGTTCTGGATTTGTGGGGGGTTTGGACTGTAATTGAAACATTTTCATAAAAGTTCAATTTGTTTAAGCGTCTTGTCTCTCTGTGTTAATTCCACCCCTAAAAGGGAAGAAGACGTTTCCTGGACTTGGCAGCCTTCTGCAGCTCTGGCAGACTATTCTTGTATAAAGCTGCATGTGTGCAAGAAGGCGACATTCACCTTTGGGCAATGAATGAATGCGCACAAAACAGCACATTTCCCCGCAATGCAGAGTAATGCATTGCCCATTTGCAGATGCTTAGCAGTGTTATTAATTCTTAAAGTGTATGTAAACTGTCACCTTGTAAACTGTCACCTTGTAAACTGTCACCTTGTAAAACACCCCATACAGTTTAACCACTTCAAGTCCGGACACTTTTACCCCCTTCCTGTCCAGGCCAATTTTCAGCTTTCAGTGCTGTCACACTTTGAATGACAATTGCGCGGTCATGCAACAATTTTTTAGCATTTTTTTGAGACAGAGAAAGCTTTATTTTGTTGGTATTTATTCACCACTGGGATTTTTATTTTTTTTTTGCTATATAAATGAAAAAGTCCAAAAATTTTGAAAAAAAAGTGTTTTTCTTATAAAATTTTGCAAATAAATAAAATTTCATAATAAGTCTTGGCCAAAATTTATTCAGTTATCTTTTTAGTAAAAAAAAAAATAACCCAAATTAGTTTATAACCAAAAATTATAATTTTTAAACATTTTTTTCATTTTTTTTTATATATTGTTTTTTTTTTTTTTTTTTTACATACTGTCACCCTAGCAGTACAGTGTCACCATGGTGACACTGTACTACTTGTGGGGGGTGATGAAGATTTTTTTTTTTTTTTTTTTTTTTTTTACACTGGATTGCTTTTACACCCATAAAGGCTGTAAAAGCAATCATTTCAGCTTCTCTCTGCTGCATTCTTGCAGCCATTGAGAAATACTGTGCGAGCTGTGATTTGTCACAGCTTGTCACATGGTACAAGGCTGTTATGAATAGCCTTGTACCATGTGATCTCTGTGATAATTCACAGATTTCACACATATTAAGCAATGATGTCATAAGTGACATCTTGCTTACTATCTGCATGTAATCACTGATTGGCCAATCAGTGATCACATGATCGGGACCTCGCACAGAGGTCCCATACAACGATCGGTGTTCAGAGGACACAGCGGGCAACGGATTGTGGTTCTGCACGCTCCCAGGGAGCGTGCACAAAGCAGGGGGCGGGGAGGCCGTTTATAAACGGCCACCCGCCCTTGCACTGCTACCGTCCGGCCGTTTATATACAATGGCCGGACAGGAGGTGGTTAAAATAGAAATGAAAGGTAAAACATCTGTGTATGGATATAAAAAACAATATAAACTCCCTTTTCATATTTTTTAGTGATCATATTCCCTCTCTTCTCAGCTGCATAGAGAGGTGAGGGAGGAGAAATGGCAGTACACTGGTCTTCCCATTGGAAAGCTGTGCAGGGGAGGTGTGTCAGGACAGTCTGATCATTGGCAGAGAGCAGGCTGAGTTCCCAACACAGCTAGAGAACTGACCACACTGTACTCTTATGCCTAGTGTGGTCAGTTTTTAATAGGAAACGCAGAGGGACTGGCATGAACACCAAGGATTTCACAATACAAAGAAAACAGGAAACTTTTTCATGCAAGTACATGTCACAGCATTCACATATCAGGAATAAGAAATGTTGGGTTTACATATTCTTTAATGGCACCTCCATGCATCTGTGACTGTGTGCATCTTTGCAGGCGCCAAAACACATAGTGCAGCCAAACAATGTGTTTCAGTGCAGCGCGATTTCTCAAAAGGGTGGGGACTTCCTTTGAGCATTGGGCAGCCAACTGAAATTAATAGGCTACCCTACACAAAACGTGGGATTGTACATGCGCTTCGATGATGTGGAAAGAAGCCTCAAACATAGGACATATAAAGTTTACTGATTGCAAAAAAATATTAAAATAGTGTCTTTGCAGTTTGAGCCGCATCCAAACTGAATGACGTGAAATAACATTGCTTCCTATGGTGCCTGTTCACATATATCCAGTGCACAGTGTGGTTTTAAAAAGCGTCGTGTACGATTTCTGAGCAGTGCCTTCAGGTTCAGGTGTGGATTACAGGCTACTGACTTCTATAGGAACTGTTTCTAAGCTGCACATGTGTGAACAGAATAAAATCCTGACCTAATCCTGTCCTGAACCTGATGTAAACCTGACCTGAACCACTGAACAACTATTGTGTCAATTAACTGTGAAAACTGAGCTTCAATCCGCACCGCACATGTATGAATTAGCTTTCACAAAGTTTTCTATGTAAGAGGATGGCCACCTCTTGTATAAACCTGTTTCTGACCATGGCACCTGATCGTACTCATTTTAACATGGGTGGTAAAGGGGCAGTAAATATAGGTGGTTAACCTGCATTTTTACCCCCTTGACCGTCTACATGCAAAATAACATACACATTGCTGTGGCCGCAATGTCATATTTGGCAGTGGTGCGGCTTAAACATGCCCATTAAAGTCAATAGGTAGTGGGTTATTATTATTATTATTATTATACAGTATTTATAAAGCGCCAATAGTTCGCTCAGCGCTGTACATTACAAAGGGGGACAGAACATGTGACAGAACAATACCAGTACAATGCAAAACACGAGGGGATTGAGGGCCCTGCTCTTTGGAGTTTACAATCTAGGAGGGAGGGGATGGTGGCACAGGAGGAGATAGCTGTGGGGGATGGAGTGGTAGGAAGAGTGGAGGAGGTCGGCAAGTTAGCAGGGGGGTGGGGTAGGCTTCCCTGAAGAGGTGGGTTTTCAGGGTGCGCCTAAAGGAGAGGAGAGTAGGTGATAATCTGATGGGTTGGGGCAGGGAGTTCCAGAGGATGGGTGACACCCTGGAGAAGTCCTGGAGGTGGGCATGGGAGGAGGAGACCAGGGGACTAGAGAGAAGGAGGTCTTGTGAGGAGCGGAGTGTGCGTGCTGGGTGGTACTTGGATATTAGGTCGGTGATGTAGTTCGGGGCAGTATGGTGGACAGCTTTGTACGTCAGTGTTAGGATTTTGAATTTGATCCGTTGCGCAATCGGAAGCCAGTGGAGGGATTGGCAGAGGGGGGTGGCGGAGATGGAGCGGTTGGAAAGGTGAATGAGTCTGGCAGCCGTATTCAGGATGAACTGAAGCAGAGATAGCCAGCGGCGAGGCAGGCCAGTGAGGAGGGAGTTGCAGTAGTCGAGTCGTGATATGATGAGGGAGTGGATGAGCTGTTTAGTGTTTTCTGGGGTTAGGAACGTGCGTATTTTGGCGATGTTGCGGAGGTGGAGGTGGTTATACCCTGGTATCGCAATCCCTTTGGGATCGGGAGAGAAAATAACAGGCATTCATGAGTTGAGAGTATGTTTCTCGACAGCCGCTGAAAAACGATCGATTGTAGAACATTTTTAAGAAAGGCTTAACCAGTGCTACCAGTGACAACAAGGCATCAATCAGTACACCTTCACCAAGAAGAAAAATATTTTCATTTATTTTCATCTGGTGATCCTAACCACTACACACTTCCTGTCCAAGGGTGACAACACTAACTCACTAGATTGTATCCTTAGAGGAACAGTGTTGTCACCATAGACTGTTCTTCTGGTTTGGATTGTAAACACCATAACATAGAAGGGACGGTTCTTGTAGTCTTTAGAAATAATTGGGAACAATGCAACTGATAAGAGGGCAGCACAGAACACAAGAAGTTATCAGATGATAACATTTTTGGCTGTATAAACAGGGATTTTTTTTTGTTGCAGTTATAACAAAACACCTTCATTAACAATATCAAAATGGAGCAAATAAAATAAATGCATTGTTAGGGTTTACATACACTAATAACTTCCAAAACTATAATTAGAGCATTTTTATAAACTCTCAGGAACAGGCTTTCTCCACCAGGGTTCCATGGAACACTGGGGTTCCTCCAGAGATTACTAGGGGTTCCTTGGTCAAGGAACAATTTCTGCCTCTTAGATAACTTGCCACTGACACCAATTATATTTAGCTATCTGCAGAGGTGGACTATTCCCACTGGCTACAAATACAAGGAGCATTCTTCTCCTTGACCATCACACTAATGTACAGTAAGCTGTAGATGCAATAATTTTTAGCAGGTGTTCCCTGACACCAGAACATTATTTAACTACCCCTTTACGCCGGCCGCACACAAATGTGTGGCCTCCCGGCGTCTGGGCCTAGACGCCGAGCGACCGCACATTTGTGTTCAGGTAAGAAAAAACATATGTGCTGAGAGCATGCGCCCTGCCCCTGGGACCTTTCCCGATCATGTGACCGCCGTGACGGTGCATCACGGCGGTCACTTGATCCCTAAACCCCGTCCCGCCTCCCGGCTCCTGAAACTCTTAAAGGGCCAGGAGGCGCCGGCGGGAAGGGTTAAAGGGTTCTTTCATATTAAAAAAGGTTGAGAAAGCCTGCTCCAGTACTTTCTAAGACAGCTTTTCTCATTCTTCTTAGCCCTGAGGAACCCGTTAAATAATTTTCAGGTTCTTGATAAACCTCTTCCAAAAACAGATTAGACCTACAGCTTATGATACATTAGTGCGATCAATAAGTTCAAGAAATATTTAAATAAAAACATAAGTAATGTGGCATGCCTAGCATATTTGACACTCAGGGCAGATCATTTTGTTTCCAACCACTACAAAATTATTTTCTATAATGTACAGCGCTGAGCAAACTTTTAGGCGCTATATAAATACTGTATAATAATAATAATAATTTTCAGTAATATTCTTGAAATGAATAATAACTGCAGAAAAGAGGAAGACTGTAAAAATTGTGGTGTCCTTTAAAATGAATGGCCAGTGCAGAAGTGGTAGTGAAAAATTGTTCCCTTGCATTGGTGGACTGCTTAATGTAGGAAGGAGATCAGTCCACCATTACTCATTGCTCAAGGAACCTCTAGCAACCTCATGAAGAACCCTAGAGGTCCATGGAACCCTGGTTGATTGTTCTAAAATTTTCAATGTTTGATACATATTTTTTCTAGGACACAAAAACTACTGGGTTTTATATTATTTCATCTTTTCACCACGTCTTAAAGCCCATCTACAAGCAAAAAAAAAAAGCTTTCCCATGCAGTGGGGCTGTGCATGCACTGCATGGGTTAGCTGATCGTTTTTGTCTAGGGGAGAGGAGAAAGAAGATATACAGTGCTCAGCATAAATGAGTCCACCCCAACAGATTTGTCAGAAAAACCTTTACTTTCCTTTCAGAATCTACATTTTCACTATGTGGGATGTTGATTTCAAACAAGACTTGTGAATTTGCACAAAAAAAAAAATTTTTTCTAACAAATTAATTCAAGACCACAATGCAAAAATAAATACACCCAAATGAAAATCTTATGCAGGCCATAGACTGTTCATTTATCGGCCGATTTTTCGTCCGAAAGAATAATCGGACGATTTTCGCACTGTTAGTGGGGCAATGGCATCAGCTGATTTTTGCGGTTCCTCCTCATTTATCGGTCATGCTGGAAAATGCATGAAAAACGAATGATGTTCGGAATCATTGGCAACATTGGGTTACAGAAAGAACGATGTTTAGTTTTTCGGACAAAAAATCGGCCGATAAACGAACCGTCTATGGCCTGCATTAGGAGCAAAGTCAAGTTTTAGACAATAAAATCCTAATTAACAAGAATTCAACTACAGGTGAGTCTAATTATTCATTAAACAGGTGTCCAGCAGACAGTTGATTATAAAAGGGTGTTACTTAACAAAGAAAACCCCTTCCCATTTTATGCTGTCAGCAATGGCACCACATAGAAGAGAAAGAGAAAAAAAATAATTCCTTTACACATGAAAGTTGAAGGCTAGAAGAGGATTATCAAAGCTTTACTTATCAGTCAGAATACTGTAGCAAAAGTGATACAAAAATATAACAAAGATGGAACCATCTCACAGAGTTGTCCAGGCCATCCACAGAAATTAACACCTCGACAGAAGTGTCTTCTGATGAGAAGGTTGAAGAAAATCGCCATGCAAGTTCATTACAGTTAGCAAAAGAGTTAGAAAGCCAAACTGGGGCGATTGTTTCCAATGACACTATACGGCATACACTGCAGAAGAATGGCATGCATGAGTGTCATCCACAAAGGAAGCCTCTAATAAAGCCCATGCACAAAAAAGCCTGCCTAGAATTTGCCAGGGCCCATGCTGAAAAAGAAGACTACTGGCACTCTCTACTCTTGAGTGATGAGACCAAGATAAATGTTTTTGGATCTGATGATTTCAAAACTGTATGGCGTCGCAAAGTTGAGTACAAAGAAAAATGCATGGTGCTTACAGTGAAACATGGTGGTAGCAGTGTCCTTCTGTGGGTCTACATGAGTGCTGCTGGTATCGGGGAGCTGCATTTCATTGATGGTATCATGAATTGACAGATGTACTGCTCTATATTCAAAGAGAAGATGCTGCCATCACTCCATGCCCTTGGTCGTTGAGCACTTTTCCAACATGTCAATGATCCAAAACACACATCTAAGGCCACTATTGCATTTCTGAAGAAGAACCGGGTGAAAGTGATTCAGTGGCCAAGTATGTCTTCTGATCTGAACCAAATTGAACACCTATGGGGTATTCTGACATTGAGCATCAATTTCCATCCAGCATCCAGGCTCTAAAAGAGGTTGTTCTTGAAGAATGGAAAAAGATAGATGTTGCAATATGTCGTCAACTTGTTCATTCCACGGCTAGAAGACTTGGTGCTGTCCTTACAAATCATGGAGGTCATACAAAATACTAGATGGAATAATTTTTGTTGTGGGGTAGATTCATTTTTGCATCAACTCATTTGAGTAAAACTGAAGTTATATTATTAACATTATTTTCATGTAATGAGCTAAACAAATGTTCTATAAAACTCAATTTTGTGAAAATTTTGGAAATTGTTCTTGTGTTTATTGACATATTGATTAAAATCTTACTTTTCAAAAAGGGGTGTACTCATTTATGCTGAGCACTGTACCTACCTGATCCTCCAATCCTCCTAAGACAGGTCCAGCACCTTCGCACTCCAGCGATCTTGAGTTATGGAGTGTTCCTGACGTCATCAAGCCCAGAACAGGCTTCATAGACTAGGCACAGACCACCGCTGGACCGTGGAGGAGCCAATGTGTATAAGCTTTCTCTTCACCCCTAGACAAAACAAGCAGTGCAGGTACAGCCTGACTGTATGGGGAAACTTTTTTGCTTTTGCCTGGAGTTGGGTTTTAAGCAGTCTTGACCTTGCTGTTTATAATAACAAGGTGTCACAAAAGTTGAAATATGTGTGATAATTTTTACATTGGACTTGCTTCGACCATTGTAACTATGCATGTGCCATACTTGTAGGACCTCATGGAAGCTGGAAATCACTGTAATATACACCACCATCACTAAATACAATGGATGGAGGCATATCTCCTGCTGGCATAAGAGCACCTGTGGCTGTCAAAATACTCAAACAGAGGGTGACAATTTTCTGCCCAAATACTTTGAACCTCACATAAAAGGATGTCAAGCAGGAGGGTGCCAACAGTGCCACTCACAGCTCAAATTTTTATCAGGAACTGTCCAAGACTCACTCATGTTCATGTATGGCCAGCTTTAGCCTGTAATTGTGCAACAAGATATTCTGAACTCCACCCTCTGTGGGAAAAATGTGTTTTTATGGGTTATGCTAATAGTTCATAGAAGTGCAGATCCTTTTAATAAAGGAATGTAAATTTTGCATCGGTTGCTATGGTAGCTAGTTTATTCAGTATATCTATTCCATCTGCTGTCTTATTAGGAAATTACATAGACCGCACATTGTAGAAAGACAAGCATTTCCTCAAGATTTTTCTAAATAATTTTTAGATTTAATAGAGCAAAATCAGCCTCAGAATCAGTGGGGTTACAACTAGAGTAGCATCTCATGACATTCACAGAAACACATCAAACACAGTGCAATGCCTTGCCGTGACAATCTTATTTGAATTGCATCTCAACACACCTACACCAGGCAACAAAACTCACATACACTGTAGCACATGTGATCTTCTGGGCATTGTGGTGTGCTGTGTTGAGAAAAAAAAAAAGTTCTGCATATTCAGTTTTAGTGCAATACTGAGCTTGGGTAGCCCATTAAAATGATTACTTGAAGGACTTTTGAATGGACTTTTGACTCCATGACCTATCTCTTCAGGGAAGTCTAGGGGCGGACTGATTATTCAAGCTCTCAGGCACTACCTGAGGGCCCGGGCTCAGTAGGGGGCCCCATGAGATGCCCCTGGTACCTTTCATTGGCTTTTTCATAGGCTTTTTTGGGTGTGGGCGAGGACACAGGGGCCCCATGATCCCCTATTGCCCGGGGGCCCCATGAGTTGTCAGTCCGCCCCTGGGGAAGTCTATCTTGCCTTTGGCTGATAACTTCTATCTTCTATTTCTCCTATCAGTTCATCCCCCACAGTTATTACCTTTTGTACCACCAGCCCCTCCCTCCTAGATTGTAAGCTCCAAGGAGCAGGGCCCTCCTATCCCTCTTGTATTGAACTGTATTGTTGCTGTATTGTCTCCCTTTATATTGTAAAGCGCTGAGCAAACTGTTGGCGCTATATAAATCCTGTATATAATATAATAATAATAATAATGAGTAAGCTTTTTAGCAGAAAATGCATAAGATCCTTGTCAGCTTTTCCCACTGCATTTAATGCAATGAAAGGAAGTTATGCTATATTCTGCTATATATTCCAGTGTCTCGTCACCTATTTTCTCTTTGATCGCTGGTAAGCTGAAACAGGCTAGATGTGCATTTAGTGCTTGGGTGTGGGCAAGCGTGGAGCAATACGGACTTGTATGTAGGTAGGAAGTAGGAACTGGAGTGCAGGTCCAGAAATCTATGCAGACAAGTAAAGAATGAAATGCAGGATCTGTGCAGACAGATAGGGACTGGAGTGTAGGTCCAGGATTTATGAAGACAAGTGCAGACTGGAATTCAGGTCCAGGATTCATGTAGACAAGTAGGTACTGGAGTGCATGTCCAGGATTCATGAAGATAAATAATATCAAACGTGCAGGTCCAGGATCCATTGCAGATAACTAAGAACCGGATTGCAGGTCCAGGATCCATACACTATACTAGAGTGCAGGTCCAGGATCCAAGCTGACAAGTATGTACTGGTGTACAGGTCAAAGTTCCATGCAGACAAGTAGGGACTAGTTTGTTGGTCCAGATCCATGTGTAGCATTACCCCCATGGGGGCCAGCTGTCAGATAGGTCCCAGAGGTATTTTCCCATAGTTTCACCCCACAGCCAGGCACACGAACACACAACACAGTCGCAGCATTTTGGCTCGGTAAACAGTCCAGGGGTGTTATTTTTGGTGTTTTAAATCTTAGGGATAACGTGGACAATAGGGATTGGGGCCAAAAAGAACTATGTACAAGTTGAGGTCACTGACCTAACTTTCTTCTACAGCACTTTAGCAAAGTGCTTGTAGGGGCCTAGGCCTGGGCATTTTGGACTGAGCAGCCCCAAACCTGGGCACCTTTTCCTCTGTATCTGGTGGTGGAAGAAGGGGGGAGAGAAGATACAAGACGGGGAGTGTAGACGGGGCAGACACAGGAGGAGAGGGCAGGAGAAGGAGGGGCAGAACCAGCTTTCTCAATCCTCTCCCGCCTGTGGTGTGGGGGGAACTGTCAGCACTGGGGACAGTCTATCATGACAGATGCTCTGCAGCAGCTGCAGGAAGGCGGGAACCCAGCAGCAGCAGCACTGCAGGAGATGAGGGAGGGCTGGCAGTGGGGGAGCATACAGGAGTTCAGGGCAGCAGGAGATGGATAGGAGGGTGGCCAGGTGGCACATAGAGGAACTGGTCCATGCATTTCTCTCCTGACACCACTGAGTGCCTGCACAAGGGAGAGGAGGATAAGCAGGCATTCAGTGGCGGCAGGAGAGAAATGCCTGGTTCATTTTCTCTATGTGCCAACCAGCCTCCCCTCCTATCCAGGCAGCCCTGGCCCACGGGGCAAATGCCCGGTGTGCCATATGGCCAGTCCAAGCCTGTAGGGGCCAGTATTGGACTTGACTAAGTTGAAGCAGATAAAGGCACAAACTTTTTGCTTTAAGCAGCTTGAGCAGAGTCCCTTTAACACAGAACAAGATGGACTAGGCTCTTCAGGATACCGGCCGATACACCCTATTAACTGCACTCAGAGCTGACTCTCTCAAGAACCAGAGGGGTAGCAGCAGCCCACAGTCTCTAGTATCTCTCACACAGTCTGTACTCACAAACATACTCAGATGAATGGATGCCTCCTTCCAATGTCTTCCAGACCAAATGTAAGAAGAGACAGTCCCACAGTCTGCTTGTAGACATCTCAACTAGCTCAGCTGAGGTCTCATGGACAGCAAGCACATGGCAGGACTGCCCAGAGGGTAGCAGACCCTCCAGGCTGGACTCCTCCTCTACAGGAAAAGATAAGAAGGCTTTAGATCTCAGGCTATATATACCTATTTCTCAGCAGCCACCTGTGCAGGGACCACAAAGATTGGCTGGGACTGTGTAAATATTCATGCTGCCCATTTACATTACTCTACAGCTATGCTCAGTTCTTGTCCAGGTAGACCTGAAAATACAGAGTGAGAGCAATTAAATTTGCAGCCTATGAGACACAGAGCAAACCCTAAACAATCACATTCAGCTGCACTGACTACAGTGAGCTAGAATCATTTTCCTAAACCTGGAATTGCAGCCACACTGGGTGCAGTGAGCCAAACTAAATCTTTCAACTTCCAGCACATATCTAGGTGGTCGCTAGACATGCAGACAGGTAGGGACTAGATTTCTGCTCCACGACCCATGCAGACAAGTAGTGCAGGCACAAATATAGAATCTGTTCAGACAGGAAAGAAATGCAGCATATTTTTAGGATCAGTGTTCAAAAAACGTCAAGTTATTATGCATTAACTCAAACATACTAAGATCAGACAGTGTGGAAACAGTGGTTTGTAGCTAAACAGGCATTGATGGCACACAGATATGGAGAGCATAGAGACACAGGAAAAGGAAAAACAGGGTAAAAAAACAGAATTCCATAATAACCCAGAGGTAACAAAAAGCTGCAAATCACAAGTTTTATTTAAAATACATTTGTGAGCCTGACTAATATTAAGGCACTGGATTCTACAGCTGTTGCTGCAACTCCAGTCCAGATCCAAGCAGAGATAGTGGTGACTTAAATGCCACATTGGGATGACATACAGAGCATTCTGCTGGCTCCTGACTGCCTTTGTACCAAGATGAAAGCTTCACAACTGTACACATCTGGTACTGTACACATACCCAGAACAGTGCATCTGACAAGTTCATGGGGTATGTCTACCACTTCAAATACACTCAGAAAAGCAAATAATCTTGTACCGAAAAACAAGGATATAGGTCTTTATTTTTCTGCATAAGTGGTTTGTTTGGAAAATATGTGCAGACATGTATGGACCGTTGACAACAATTTTATATACAGTGTGAAGGAAGTAAATGGAAACGAAACTCATTTGGAGGACTTGCTATTATAAAGGGCTCTATTCTCCGTAGTCCAGGGGTCTTCAAACTTTTCAGTATGAAGGCACAATTTTACAAATATTCATAGGCCCCCCCAAAAATATTTTTTTTTTATAAATGAATGAATAAAATTTAAATGGATGAATATGTTTTCCTTAGAGTATTTTTTTCAGTGTGAAATCAGTGTGAAAGAACTTTCATTAAACAAAGCAAAGAAATTGTACAAAAAATGTGAGACATTATTAAAGTCAAGCAAAATTAATTCAGTCTGCTTCTTTCTCATCAAGGTCCCTTTTGCATTGAAGTTCCCATCAGAAATTCTCCCTATCAAAGTTCTCCCTTACATCAGGGTCCTCATCAGAGCCCCCCCCCCCCCCCCCCCCTCAGTATTACAGGGCTTTTTGAATTGGAATTCAGACCATGGCCCTATAAATCACCAGATTTAATTGTGGAAAGAAGCCAGAGCAAACCGTTGCCTACCTACAGAAAACATGCATACTTCATGCAAGTAGCCTATATCCCAACCATTTGTGATAGAGAAGAGAGACACTTTTTAGCATACATTATAATGGCAAAGGGCAAATTCCCTGCCACACTCCCCAACTTTTTACTTACTTAAACTTTAACATTTATAACTAAGCAATGCAATAATTTGACCATTTAATATATTCAATGCAAAATAATGGGCTTTGGCCTTACAGTTAGAGTATTTATATATACAGATCTCTACACTAGAGCTTAAAGAGGGGATCTGATGAATGATGGACAATGGGATTTCATTCCAAAAGTGGGACAGTCTCTCCATATGAAGGACTGTTGGCAAGCTATGTACAAAGTGTCTCTAAAATGAATGAATGGCAAATCCCACCTCTCTGCATGCTCAACCTTCCACCATAGTGCCCTCTATAAAGAAGTACATTGTAAAACGATTTTAGAAAATCACTGACCACTGACCGTATCTGAAAAGGTACAAATTCTAAATTATGCTTCTTTTATCTTTCTCTTCAGTTTCTTGAACCGTTGTGTCACTATAGACCACCCTGAGAGTGTGCACTGGTGTGAATGGACTGTTAGTGCATTATCATGGTGTATGCATTGGCTAAAAGTGACTTTAACCTCTTTGTGCCGGCGCCTCCCAGCCCTTTAAGAGTTTCAGAAGCTGGGAGGCGGGGCGGGGTTTTAGGGTCATGTGACTGCCATAATTCGCCGTCACATGATCGGAAAAGGGGAGATCGGGCCCTTTCGGTGAGTCACAGACATATGTGCTGGGAGCGCGCAGGGTGCGCGCTCTCAGCACATATGTATTTTCTAATTGCACGCAAATATGCGGCCGCTCGACGTCAAGGCCCAGACACCGAAAGACCGCATATTTGCGTACGCTCAGCGTCAAGGGGTTAAAGGGTAACAAAACCCAAGAACAAAACATGTGACATAATGCAGCTTACCAGTCCTTAGATGAACTGTGAGCTGGACAGAAAACAAAACAAGTTTATCTCATTTATATAAACTACTAATCCAATCATCTCATATGCCCTGGAGATGAACAAAGGCGGGCTGGGTGCCAACCATGACTTCCTCCAGAGATACAGTGGATAAGATGTGTGCTATTTGTAGGATCACCAGGAAAAAAAAACTGTAAAAAGAGATCCAATGCAGTCACCACATCTAAGGGCTGGTAAGCTGCAAAATATTACATTTTTGACAGGACTTTTTTTCCTCAGAGAACAGGTGCAGGTACTCCAATTTCTCAGTCACCCCTTGTTGCTTGCTCCCTACCCACCTCTGAGTACTGTCCATTCGTTCCACCCCCATCCACCTCCTAGTACCGCCTCTTTTATAGAAAACAGAACCAAGTATCATTTTGTGCTATTAAAGGATACTTTCACCTTTTAGACAAAAATAATACATACATATTGTTTGGCAGGTAAAAAAAAATTACATTAATTACTTTTGTCTCAGGAGCCTGGAAAGCATTGCACCAGTGATCAGTAGATTGCTGATGCCATGCAAGTCTCCTGCAGACCTGTCAGAATATGTGATTGCTGTATGAATGGACGAGCAAGCAGATATTCTGACAGGAAGCTTCAATGAACAACCACGGCACTCCACAGACCCATGGTAGTTCATTGAAAGCTACAAGTCTACAGCCGCTAAGGCTGTCGGGACTTGCAGTTCATTCATTCACTGAAGTCCGTGAATGAATGATGCGGCCGTGTGTGCGGAGCCCCGTACAGCCATGCTGGTTTCAAATTTGACAGGTAGTACAGGGAATGTTCTCCCCGTATTATCTGTCAGAGGGAGGGAGGTGGTGGGCAGCGGCTGCTGCTATGGGAACATGTTACATGTTCCACCCTAAAAACAGGTGGAACATGTAACATGTTCCCAATGGTGAACTTATCCTTTAAGTAATTTGCATGGAATTTGTTAATGATAACAAGAAAAGTATTCAAATAGATCCCCTGCAGCCTGCAACAATAACTCTCCACACCAACAATAGATCTCCCCAGTAACAATCGACCCCCCACCAGCAACAGTAGACTTCCCCAGCAACAACAGAACCCCTGCATCAAAACACCCCCCAGCAACAATAGATCGAGCCCAAGGAACAAAAGAACTCTGCCAGCAACAATAGTTCTAGAAGCCACCATTAGACCTTCCAGCAGCTAGAAACAAGAGACCGCTCCCTCAACAGTAGATCCCTCCCATAAACAATACTCCCCAGCAAGAACAGACCCCCAGCAACAATGGATCCCTTCCAGTGACAATAGATCCCCCAGGAGCCAGCATCAATAGACCCTCCAGCACATCTTGCCATTACATACATTCAGTGCTGGAGGTGCCGGAACTGCGTTACCCCGTGTTCCCACTGAAAAAAAGCCCTGACTTTTGGTTTTGCGAAAATATCTACTAGAGAAGGTATTTACATTTGACAAGGCAATGTGTTTTTTATTTTACCTTGTACATGCTGTACTTCAACCAAGGGCGGACTAACAACTCATGGGGCCCCCGGGAATTGGGGATCATGGGGCCCCTGTGTCCTTGCCCAAACTCAAAAAAGCCTATGAAAAAGGTACCAGGGGCATCTCATGGGGCCCCCTACTGACCCCGGGGCCTTGGGCAGTGCCCGAGTTTCCAAATGGTCAGTCTGCCCCTGACTCCAACTCATATATCTGCATTCACTCACAGTCCTGACTTCAGTGTATAAGGTGTGGAGGTGTTTGGTGGTGGAAATTCTTTACATTTTTTTATACTTATTAATGGACAGTCAGAAATTCTGGCTGTTTAATTGACCTGTGGACATGATGATATAACATGAAGGATGTTTTTAGTATGGTTGTTGTCACATTCTGCAGCACATAGCAGAGTTGGTGTAAGGATGAAGGTAACTGTCCACAATTACATTTTTTTCCAGGGACTGGGCATCTGAGGGACATTTATCTAGTCCTTACATCAAAATAAATTAATGTCAACAGCTCAGTGTTGTTTTCTAAACCAGTGTTTGTTAACCACTTGCCTACCGGGCACTTATACCCCCTTCCTGCCCAGGCCAATTTCAAGCTTTCAGCTCTGTCACACTTTGAATGACAATTGCGCGGTCATGCAACACTGTACCCATATGAAAATGTTAGCATTTTTTTCACACAAATAGAACTTTCTTTTGGTGGCATTTAATCGCCACTGGGTGTTTTATTTTTTGCGCTACAAACAAAAAAATGTAAAAAAAGTTTCTTTGTTTCTATTATAATATTTTGCAAACAGGTCATTTTTCTTCTTCACTGATGTGCGTTGATGAGGCTGCACTGATAAGTGGCACTGATGGGCACTGATAGGCAGCACTGATGAGGTAGCACAGATAGGCAGCACTGATATGCAACAATGATGGGCACTGATAGGCGGCACTGATGGACAGCACTGATGTGCACTGATAGGCAGCACTGATAGGTGGCACTGACTGATGGCACTGACTGGCAGCACTGCTGGGCTCTGACTGGTGGCACTGATGGGCACTGATGGGTGGCACTGATGGGGGGTACTGCTGGGCACTGGTGAGTGGCACTGCTGGGCACTGGTGAGTGGCACTACTAGGCACTGATGGGCACAGGTGGGTGACATTGCTGGGCACTGCTGGACACAGGTGGGCAGCAGTGCTGGGCATTTGTGGGTGGCACTGCTGGGCACAGGTGGGTGGCACTGGTAAGTGACACTGATCATCAAGGCACTGATCATCAGTGCCCTGATGATCGGTACCGATCCGTCCTGTGACAATTGCCAGTTATCGGCAGTACTTTCCTCACACTGTGACATCCGTTGATCTGCTGTATCATTGGACACAGCTGATCATGTGGTAAAAGGCTGCTGTGATTGGCCTTTTACCACATCACGTGATCAGCTGTGTCCGTAGGACACAGCGATCATTGAGATCGCCGGGTGTGCACCCCCGGGGATGCACGGGAGGGCGCATTCTGGGAGGACGTCATATGATGCCCTCCCAGGACTGGACAACCACACTGTAGCCATCATTCGGCTATAGCACAGTTGCCAAGTGAGATGCCCCAAGCATTGAACTCAGTTTGCCCTGGATCCACTTCATGAGTTGCCATAGGGTGGTCGGGCAATCAAACAGAACCATAACAACCAATGATGCTCTAGGGTCAGGATACATGGTGTCATTATTTTCTATGGTGAAGGTGTCTGGCTCACCTGCAACATGGCAAAGCATGACTCTGATCCAAGGCAGGCAGCATGCAGGACTGCCCCCAGCATTAAGAAGACAGAAGACCACCATCTCCTCCACCTCCAACCCTCTGCTACATTGCTGGAGCCAAATGGTAGGGCTTTGATATGAGAAGGGGACCATGTGACTGGGGGGGTGGCTTTGTTATAGGGGGACTCTGTGGTAATAGGAGGAACCATGGCTTTTGCATGGGGGGTTTGGTTGTGATGGGGGGACTTCTGATGTGCTAGGGGGTATCTGATGTGAGGGGGTGTCTGATGTGATGGATGTACCTCTGATGTGATGGGGTCCCAAGCTCAGGTTTACCATTGATAGGTAACATTTATGTTTTTTACATTTTAAACTGGGGTGCCTAAAGATTTGGCATACTTTTAAAGGGTGCTATGACTGAAAAAAAGGTTATAAAATGCTGTTCTAAGCTTCACCTTGCCTGCATTTTTACTAAGTACCCCTAGTTGATTGAAAACTGGCTAAACAGTTCTAATGCGATGACACTTGAATAGTCACATCAACATTTGGCCCTAGCAGGGACCGCCAGCTACAGGACCACTTTCTTTGCTTGTATGAGCTGGAACCTATCAGGCAGGATGCTGGAACTGCAATCTGTCACCAAAGACTTATTTGGTAGTAAGGTTTCTCTTATTAACAGTGTAATTCACGTAGGTCTCTTTACCTTGGGTGCCAGATGACCTTGCCTTGGAACAGTTACAGCACAGTCGCTGAGAGCAATAATTCTAAATCTGTTATTTATGGTTACTCTAAACGGATGACCTGTGGGGCTTTTAAAGCACCACCATTATACAATTTAGGGTATAGAAATTTGTCACTGTTTCACGGACACAAACAGTTTTGAGGCTTGACATGCTCGGTGTGTATATACTTAGCGCAGCCTCATCTTTTATATTGTACAAATAATGGGGTAATATAGTTTATCTTTTACTGAAATTTTGCACTTGAAAAACCATTCTAAAGTATACTGGTGTGTCGGCATAACTTCAACACCACATCTCAAATAGAATATGTATACTAAAAAAGAAAGCAGAGAATGGAACTTTCAAGGTGTAACCTTTCAAAAAATAATCAACATAAATATTGCTAAAATAGTAAATCAACACATAAACATTACTAAAACATAACATTTTTATTGATAATACAAAGTTAAAATTCATAAAAACAGAGCGATTGCACTTTCATATGACCTTGCTGAATACACCTTCTAATGACCAGCCCATACAGTTGCAAGAAAAAGTATGTGAACCCCTTGGGATTACGTGGAGTTTTGCATGAATTGGGCATAAAATGTGCTCTGAACGTCATCTAAGTCACAACATCAGAAGAACACAGTCTGCTGAACATAATACTACACAAACATTAGATGTTGCCATGGTTTAATTGCACATAACATGTAAACATTCACAGTGCAGGAAGGAAAAAGTATGTGAGGCCCTAGCTTAATGACTTCTCCCAGAGCTAATTGGAGCCAGGAGTGAACCAACCTTGACTCCAATCAGTGTGATGATATTGGATGTGTTGCTGACAGCTGTCCTGCCCTTAAAAAACACACACCTGTTTTGGGTTTACTGGTTTCAAGAAGCACTGTCTGATGTGAACCATGCCTTGCAGAAAAGAGCTCTCAGAAGACCTACGATCAAGAATTGTTGACTTGCATGAAGCTGGAAAGGGTTACAAAAGTATCTCCAAAAGCCTTGATGTTCATGTGTCCACGGTAAGACAGACTGTCTACAAATGGAGAAAGTTTAGCACTGTTGCTACTCTCCCTAGGGGTGGTTGTCCTGTAAAAATGACTGCAAGAGCACAGCGCAGAATGCTGCATGAGGTAAAGAAGAATCCCAGAGTGTCAGCTAAAGACCTACAGAAATCTCTGGCACATGCTAACATTTTTGTTGACACATCTACAATAAGGAAAACATTAAACAAGAATAGAGTACATGGGAGGACACCACGGAGGAAGCCATTGCTGTCCAAAAAGAATATTGCAGCACATTTGAAGTTTGCAAAAGAGCACCTGGATGTTCCACAGCACTACTGCCAAAATATACTGTGGACAGATGAAACCAAGATTGAGTTGTTTGGGAAGAACACACAACACTATGTGTGGAGAAAAAAAGGCACAGCACACCAACATCAAAACCTCATCCCCACTGTAAAACATGGCGGAGGGAGCATCATGGTTTGGGGCTGCTTTGCTGCCTCAGGGCCTGGACCGATTGTTGTCATTGATGGGAAAATGAATTCCAGAGTTTATCAAGACATTTTGCAGGAAAACGTACGACCATCTGTCCGCCAACTGAAGCTCCGCAGAGGATGGGTGATGCAACAGGACAATGACCCAAAGCATTCAAGTAATTCAACAAAACAATGGCTGCAACAGCACGGAATACGCCTTCTGGAGTGGCCCAGTCAGAGTCCTGACCTCAACCCAATTGAAATGCTGTGGCATGACCTTAAGAGAATGATTCACACCAGACATCCCAAGAATATTGCTACACTTAAAACAGTTTTGTGAAGAGGAGTGGTCCAAAATTACTCCAGATCGTTGTGCAGGTCTGATCTGCAACTACAGGAAACATTTGGTTGAGGTTATTGCTGCCAAAGGAGGGTCAACCAGTTATTAAGTCCAAAGGTTCACATATTTTTTCCTCCCTGCACTGTGAATGTTTACATGTTATGTGCAATTAAACCATGGCAACATCTAATGTTTGTGTAGTATTATGTTCAGCAGATTGTGTTCTTCTATTGTTGTGACTTAGATGACGTTCAGAGCACATTTTATGCCCAATTCATGCAAAACTCCATGTAATCCCAAGGGGTTCACATACTTTTTCTTGCAACTGTAGCTACTTCCTGAGGGACTGATTCCTAATAATCATACTATTGTATAACCAGACACAACATTTCCAAATTAATCACCAGGTAGTAAACTCATTGCATTAGTTGGACATAGTCAGAACTCTACGCATTTTGCAATATGCTCATTCAGGAGAAACAAGGTGAGTCCATGATATTACTTCCAAAAAGAGAATGCAGTCTGTCAATGTAAGGAGTCCATATGCTTGTCTGGTGGCAGCAACCAGAAGGGCAACAAGGTCTGGCTGCACATATCAAACAATCATTGCCAATAGCGTCTACACTTATGATTTTAAAGAGAAGTGGCCACCAGGTATTTATAGGATGTTAAAGTAATTTCCCCAAATTACTGGACCCAAATAGAGTCCACCACCTCTACCTCCTGCTGGGTGATCCCCTGCTCATAAGGTCCCTCTCTCAGGGCCAAAATGTCATATGAGAATAAAATCACTTTTTTTATGAGTTTTAACTGTTTTGCTATATCAATAAATAAGGATTTTAGAAATATTTATGTTTTGATTGACTATTTTTTGAGAGGTTACACCCTGAAAGTCCCATTCTCCA